AGAATGCTTTTATACACATTAACCAATACCAAAAACAATAAATGTTTTATATTTATGACAAATCCTTGTTTTTTATTTTTATTTTGAGACAGTATCTTCTTGATGTATAACACCTAACGCTTACAAAATATTTCTTATCACAAGGATGGCTTGTTAGTAAGTGTTCGGCCAAATCTTGTGGCTTTCTTCAGTTGTTGGGATGATTCAGTTGATAGTCAACCTGAGCAAACTCTCGGCTGATGAAGGCCACAAGATGGGGCTGAAAGCTCCAGAAAATCTTACAACACATGTACCATCTCTAAATACCTAAGGTCAATAGGGAATATCCAAGTTCAGTTAACAGGCTATGGTTGCAGATTTGCATTGCTCTGTAGAAATATTTTCTCTTTTAATGCAGAGTTAGAATCAGCCATTTGTACATTATGTTGAGCAAAAATATGTCCTTTTTATACTTTAGGGTCTCTGTGCAAGGAGCATAAAAACTTGTGCCCAGATAAATAAAAAGGTGGAAAAAGTACTTAGATCTTGTTTAAGTTGGAGTAGAAGTACCAGAGTGTAGGAATACTCTGTTATAAGTACGATACGATATACTTTATTGTCCCCGTAAGGAAATTTGTTCTGGACTTCATCCTGCAGTTCCGCATACATGTAAGGCAAGGCAAGGCAAGTTTATTTATATAGCACCTTTCAACACAAGGCAATTCAAAGTGCTTTACAAAAATGGAAGACATTAAGAAAATGGCATTTAAAATCAGTCATTAAAAAGAAAAGATAATAAAATAAACATTAAAAGAAAAAATACATGGATAAAAGTTACAGTGCAGTTTAAGATATGAATAGTTCAATTAAAAGCAGTGGCAAAAAGAAAAGTCTTCAGCCTGGATTTAAAAGTAGTAAGAGTTGCAGCGGACCTGCAGCTTTCTGGGAGTTTGTTCCAGATATTTTGAGCATAATAAATGAATGCTGCTTCCCCATGTTTAGTTCTGACTCTGGGGACAGAAAGCTGACCAGTCCCTGAAGACCTGAGAGTTCTGGATGGTTCATAATTTAGCAGTAGGTCAGACATGTATTTTGGGCCTAAACCATTCAAAGCTTTATAAACCAGCAACAATATTTTTGAAATCTATTCTTTGACACACAGGAAGCCAGTGTAAGGATTTCAGAACAGGAGTGATGTGATCCACTTTCTTAGTGTTAGTGAGGACTCGAGCAGGCGTTCTGAATTAGCTGCAGTTTTCTAATAGATTTTTTAGTGAGACCTGTAAAGACACCATTGCAGTAGTCGAGTCTACTGAAGATAAAAGCATGGACAAGTTTTTCCAAATCCTGCTGTGACATTAGTCTTTTAATCCTAGATATGTTCTTTAGGTGATAGTAGGCTGATTTAGTAACTGTTTTAATGTGACTGTTGAAACTCAGGTCAGAGTCCATGACTACACCTAGATTTCTGGCTTTATCTGTTGTTTTGAACATTGCAGACTGAAGCTCAGCGCTAACTTTTATACGTTCTGCCTTGCCTCCAAAAACCATTACCTCAGTTTTATCTTTGTTTAATTGGAGAAAGTTCTGACACATCCAGTCATTGATTTGTTCAATGCACTTACTCAGTGTTTGAATTGGAGCATAATCTCCTGGTGAAATTGTTACGTAAATGTGTGTGTCATCCGCATAGCTATGGTAACTTATTTAGTTGTTTTTCATTATCTGAGCCAGTGGTAGCATGTAGATGTTAAAGAGAAGAGGCCCCAAGATGGAGCCTTGAGGTACCCCACATGTCATATTTGTCAACTCAGATGTGTATTTACCTATAGAAACAAAGTTTTTTCTGTCCTTTAAGTAGGACTCAAACCAATTTAGAACTGTTGCCGAAAGTCCCACCCAGTTTTCTAGTCGGTCTAGTAATATGTTGTGGTCAACAGTGTCAAACGCAGCACTGAGATCTAATAATACTAACACTGAAGTTCTGCCACTGTCTGTGTTTAAGTGGATGTCATTGAAGACCTTTACAAGAGCAGTCTCAGTGCTGTGGTTTGGACGAAATCCTGACTGGAACACATCCAAAGAGTTATTTAAATGCAAGAAGTTACTCAACTGTTGAAATACAACTTTTTCAATGATTTTACCTAGAAATGGCAGGTTTGATATTGACCTGTAATTGTTCATTACTGAAGCATCTAGATTATTCTTTTTTAAGAGCGGTTTAATGACTGCAGTTTTCAGGGCCTCTGGAAAAATACCTGAGTGAAGAGATGTGTTTACTATATGAAGTAGATCTGAGGCCATGCAAGGAAAAACATCTTTGAAAAATCCTGTTGGAATAATATCAAGGCAGCAGGAGGAGGATTACAGAAGTTGAATAATGTCCTCTAAGTTTTTATCATTAATCTGATGGAATTGTGTCATGGTGTTTGAATTGATATTAGGTGGACATAGGGACAACACATTTGCTGTACCTGATGCAGAGGCACTGACTGCTTGTCTAATTTTCTGAATTTTGTCAGTGAAGAAGGAGGCAAAATCATTGCACGCCCTGGTGGATAGAAATTCAGAGGCTACTGACACTGGGGGGTTAGTTAGTCTGTCGACGGTAGCAAACAAGGCACGTGCGCTGTTTTTGTTTTTGGTAATGATGTCAGAGAAGAAATACTGTCGTGCGTTTTTCAATTCCAAATTATAAAGGCCAAGTCTCTCTTTATAGATTTCAAAGTGAACCTGGAGATTTGTTTTTCGCCACCTACGTTCAGCTTTTCGACACTCTCTTTTTTCTGTTCTCACGGTCATGGCCTTTCTCCATGGAGATATTTTCTTGCCAATCACTTCCTTTACCTTAGTTGGAGCAATGGTATCTATAACATTTTTAATTTTTTAATTAAAATGATCTACTAGCTCATTTACTGAGATGTTAGCAGGGGCAAGTGTGGATGAAAAATTATGAGTAAACATTTCCCTAGTATTTTCAGTTAAATATCGCTTTGTGGTTACCTCTTTCTGAACATTTTTGTGAACAGAAATAGAGCTCTCAAAGAAAACACAGGAATGATCAGAGAGTGCAACATCACTCACCAAAACCTTTGAGATATTCAGACCCTTTGAGATAATTAAGTCCAGAGTCCCTTATTGTGCGTGGGCTCCGCCACATGCTGAGTCAGTCCATAGTTATCAAGAACACAAAACAGTTCTTTAGCCCCTCTGTCCTGGGGGTCGTCAACATGGATGTTGAAATCACCAACAATGACTAGACGGTCAAAGTCAATACACACTATAGATAGCAGTTCAGTAAAGTCATCAAAAAAGCTTGCACAGTATTTGGGTGGTCGATAGATATTTAGGAACAGAGCTCGAGAGGAGCATTTCAGCTGAAGGGCCACATATTCAAAAGAAGCAAAGTCCCCATAAGATGTCTTCCTGCATTGAATGGAATCATTGAACAAAATAGCAACTCCACCCCCTTTCTTATGCATTATTTCCTGACTCATAAAACTAAAGTTGGGAGGGGTTGATTCGATAAGAACAGCTGCACTGTTATTTTGTTCAATCCAAGTTTCCGTTAAAAACATAAAATCGAGATTGTGCTCAGTGATAAAATCTTTGATTAAAAATGTTTTTCCTGCCAAAGACCTGACATTTAATAAAGCTAGTTTAAGTTTATTAAATACACTATCAGTAAGATTTTTTGTGACAAGCTGTGGCTGACATGGAACCACTGCTAAATGTTATAACCTCACACAAACATTTGAGCACTTCCTGTTTCTAAGCCGATTCACCGCTCTTAATCTATTACCTATCAACACAGATATCGGCAAAGCTACTGGCAGGCAGGGCCCCGGCATGTCCTGGAAAGAGTTGAGAGTGCCATATGCCCTTGAGCCTGGACCCAGCACATATCAGTAAGAGTTTATTGCGTTTTGTACACACACATCCTTATCAGGCTTCGGAGACTGCAGATGCTTTCTTGAAGGGAGGGGAGGTGGTTGACGTAGGCACGGTGATGAAGACGGGGGAGATGGTGCGCGTCTCTGCTTCGGTGATTTTGGTGGGCGTTGTGGAAGGGCGGGGGTAAAGGACATGCTGCCAGGGGGGGAGGTGGTTGACGTAGGCTTGTCTTCGGTGATTTTGGTGGGCGTCGTTGAGGGGCGGGGGTAAAGGACATGCTGCCAGGGGGGGAGGTGGTTGACGTAGGCTTGTCTTCGGTGATTTTGGTGGGCGTCGTTGAGGGGCGGGGGTAAAGGACATGCTGCCAACCCTGCGTATCGCCTTCATGCGGTCATCGAACTCCAGGGGGGGAGGGTGAAAGGGTGAGCGGAGAGTAGAGAGAGCTGGGGGATGAATGAAGAGTATCCTCAAAGGCGTTGACAGATACATGTACATATACAAACATAATAAACATTAAAATACATACAAATATCATCACTCATACACCATTTGAACAAACACAATACACAGTACAGACGCACATACTGACAATGGTGACCTATTGCACAACCATCATGGCCAACAGCAAGGCCTCAAGTAAAAGTCCTGCAATCAAAAGGTTACTCAAGTAAAAAAGTATTTTTTATTCAGAATGACCCATTTCAGTATAATATAGATTACATGTTCTGATTATAATTATTGATGTGTTTAAGTGTTATCAAAGCTGGTAAAAGTTAAATACTTTGTATGCTGCAGGGTAGCTTGTGATGTAAATGAAGTCTTATTTAAGTGTTGATTATTTTCACATCAAAACAAATCAACAAAGTAACTAAAGGTACTAAAAACCATAGAGTAAAACATTGAAATACTCTAGTAAAGTATACTTTCCTAACCATTTTAATTAAGTGCATTACTTGAGTAAATATACTTAGTTACTTTACATCACTGCAAACATATCTCTCCTCAGAACACCAGAGCTAAATTGATCCACCAGCTGATGTGAGTTACGATTTTCTCTGGAGAAAGGTGAACAAATGTCCCACGTGACGAGTCAGCTGACTTTCTGTGGCTTTCATAAAACCCAGCAGAGAGGCTCACTTCTTAACAAGTCAAGCTCCCACCGACGAGCACACAGCCGGGCTTGTTTCTGCAGCACAATTTGTGGAAGTAGGAGCGGAACTGTCTTTACTCAGTCCGTATTGTATTAACTCCACCCGGGGAAGAAGACAACGACCCTCCGGTCTGCACTTGTTTGAAGGTACAGTAGCAAAAAACGCGCTAGCTTCTTGTTAGCAAGCCGGGTTTTGTGTCGAAACGCTTTTAAATGTGTTTGTGTGTGATTCATTTATTCTCAAATTGAAGTTTCTAACTACTAACTGAGTTGTACTGCCTTGACACACCTCGCTTTTTGTTCTGCTTTTCTCATGTTTCTCACAGAGGCTGCAAACAAACATTTGTCACCGGACACCTGCTGTCACTCGGGACCATGCAGCTCCCCTCGCTGCCGTCCTGGTTCCTGCTCACCTGCTCTCTGGTGCTGTTGTTCGGGTCCTGTGATCCAGCACCGACCTCAGAGCAGTCCAGGCTGGTGTTGATGGAGCAGTTTAGCCGCCCCGAGGTCGGATTTAACTGGAGGAATGTCACTTGCCCCTTGTGCAAAGCAGTGTTTACCATCCTTGATATCGCCCTTTTGGTATGTTTGAAGATGTGTCTTACTCGTGCTACTAAAAAAGATGCTTGCATTTTTTAACATATGTTGAAAACACACAGTTACCATTATACATTTATCATTTCAGGGTCATTTTGACAGACAGTTGTGGATCCTTTTTAAGGTTGAGTAGGTTCAGCTGTAATCATTTTTATTTAGTTGTAACTGAGAGCTGTTGATTCATCGTAAGGGTCCCTCAAGTTTTATAACTTAACAGTTTAATCTTCATCATGGTAGTTTAATCAAAATGTATTGCAGTGTCAAAGCAACAAACATTTGGCAAAGTTGAGATGATTTGACTAACTTCCTGTTTCATTATGCAAAACAATTGCTTATAAAAGTTAATATCAATTATTTGGTGAATACATCATTTGGGGTAACTAAAGTTTGCAAACTACTGGTCATGTGACCCTAGCACATATGGGGAAGGTCCTGTTCTTGTTTTGCCCATTTAAAAAAAAAAACATAATTTATTTTAATACCTCCTGTGTTGATTGCTGATCATGCACTGAAACTCCCTCACGAGATCTTGATCACTTTCTGGACCTAAAGTGTTCCTGTAGCTGTTAACCTCCAAAAACACTCTTCCTAAATTGGTTTGATACATTTTTATTCTAATAAAAAATGTAAACATTATACTTAAGTGTGACTTATAAAATAGTGTTACAGTGTCGTCTAATCTAATGAGTTGGAATTTCAGAATAAAACAGTTTTTAGCTTGGCTAATTTCTTTAGGGAGTTTTTAAGCTTTCACTTCTCTCATCCTACTCTGCCTATGTTACCTCTCCTAGAGTGACACCAACGAAGAGCGAGTGGCGAGTGCAGTGAGAGAGGTGTGTATCCGTCTCCACCTGGCTGATGAGCAGGTGTGTCGACAAATAACGGAGTTGTTCAGGGGCGACTTCATCCGGGCCCTGCAGCAGTCCTTCCTGTGGCCCACTGAAGCGTGTGCCCTGCTGGTGGGGCCGTCCTGCGGCAAATTTGACATCTACGCCCCCTGGAACCTCACCCTGCCGAAGGTCCCTAAACCTCCTGTTACACCACCCTCTCCTCCCAAACCTGGATCTCCACAGAGCAGAGTCCTGTTTCTAACTGACATCCACTGGGACCAGGTGAGAGTCATTAGCAAATTAGCAAAAGCAGAATTTATCTAAATTGTTTCCACCTCAAATGTTTGCTTTGGTGACTTTTTGGCCAGGATCCGTTGAATTTTCGGAATATTGCGTTGCAGATTAGAATTTTCCAAAGGGGGGTTCGTTTAGCATGAAATACTTGAAATAACTAAAGGATAAGTTCAAAAAGAAAGTAGAAAAAAAATGAGGTCAACGAGAACTCTTGCAATGATTGAGTCAGACCTAAACATTTCAGATGTGTGTAACTCGCACTGCACTGTAGGTTTTATTTATGTACCTTTTTGTTCATGTTTTATTATCTTTGCTTTAAAATTAGTGTTTTTAAATGCCCTTTTTATAATGTTTCTTAATGTCTTTCATTTTTGTAAAGCACTTTGAATTGCCTTGTGTCGAAAGGTGCTATATAAATAAACTTGCCTTGCCTTAGTACTGACAAATTCCCTTGTATTTTACCTGTTTTTTTTTCATGTAAATGCACAGATTAAATGAGTTTTATATTGCTAGTGGACAGCATTAAAACAACAAAAAAGGACCACAATCTACCCCAATCCTAAACTGAAGTTACTGTTTTACTAGAAAAAATGTTTGCAGTTATTCCAGGAATTTTGGATTGACTAACCACAATACGGCAGGAGAATTAAGGTCACATGATTGTGTTTTGGAGCCCTAATTCTAAAAATAATCCCCTCTACCCACAGGAGTATGCAGTGGGCAGCGTCGCAGACTGCAATGACCCTCTGTGCTGTCGTGCAGACTCGCGCGCTCCCAAGTGGAGGCGCAGGGAAGCGGGGTTCTGGGGAACCTACAGTAAGTGTGACCTGCCTCTGAGGACCGTGGAGAACCTTCTGGAGAACGCTGCCAGAGACGGACCCTGGGACTGGGTCTACTGGACCGGAGACATCCCAGCGCACAATATTTGGTCTCAAACCAGGAAACAGCAGCTGTCGGAGCTTACTGTCATCTCCAGGCTCATCCACAAGTAAAGTTTTGTTATTTTACATAGAAAGGAACACATTTGCTCCTTTCATACAGTACATAATGGATTTGAAGTCTTGCTATAACTGCAGATAACTTTGCCATTTAGATTATCTAGTTAGAAATACAATACCATTTGAAACATGGTGTTAAAATGTCAGACCTTTTTAGCCATGTTGCTGGTGAGGATTTTCTTTTGGTGATGCAGCAGTTTCTTCAATTCCACCCTCAAATAAGTGTTGTTGTACTCTGACCCAAAACCTTGATAACTGCAGCTTTGCTCAGATGTTTGTCATGTGCTACCTGGAATTGATCCCAACGGCCATTGACTCTGTTCTTCTTATCTCCTGTCCAGATACCTGGGACCCAATGTGACAGTGTACCCTGCTATAGGGAACCATGAGAGCACACCAGTGAACAGCTTCCCCCCGCCCTTTGTTCATGGCAACAGGTCCATGTCCTGGCTTTACGACACGATGGCAGAGGAATGGTCCGCATGGTTACCAGAGCAGGCTTTGAAAACTTTGAGGTTTATATTTTTATTATATCTAAATGTGTGTTGACGTTGTACAAGTCAGGCCACCCTGTAGATAAGACATAAGTCACGTTGTTAAATACAGTAGTAACAAAAAACGAGATCATAAATGGTGTTGACTTCCTGCAATTTCACCTTTAGTTCCGATCACATTGTTAGTGAACAGAAGTGGTCACATTTCTCAGAATGTTGTTTCCTATAAAGAGGATGTTATGTATTGGTATGTGGCCTTAGTGGTGAATTTGACTTTGAGTCCTTCAGCTAAGTGTTGGTGTGTGTGATTTCAGATACGGAGGCTTCTACACAGTGGAGATTCAGCCTGGTCTGAGGCTGGTCTCTCTCAACATGAACTTCTGTGCTCGAGAGAACTTCTGGCTGATGGTGAACTCTACAGATCCTGCTAACCAGCTGCAGTGGCTGGTCCATATTCTCCAGGACAGTGAGAACAAGGGAGAGAAGGTGAGTACAGCAGCTAAAACAAAAGATGACGGAATATGTCGGATCAGTTTGGTTTTGCCACGCTTAATGTTAAATGTGGATAATGACTATGGCTTTTTCATTTTATTTCCTTGTAGTCGCTGGTGTGATCATGTGATTGCAATATAATCTTTTATTTTGTTTACGTGCTGACATTTATTTTTTAATTTAGGTTCATATCATCGGTCACATCCCACCGGGCCTCTGTCTTGGCAGCTGGAGCTGGAACTATTATCACATTATAAACAGGTAGCTGCTTTAATCATTTAGACCTAAAAAATCCCTGAACTGATAATAATTAAAATGCCAATTTATAACATAGCAATCCATACTGTCAGTAGTCTGAGGGTCTTGCCTGATGATCACTTCCAAGTTTGCTTGGCTGTTTTTGTGTCTTTTAAAAAAATATATTTTTTTCCAGATATGAAAATACAATTTCTGGGCAGTTCTTTGGCCATACACACATGGATGAGTTCGAAATGTTTTATGACGAGTCGACAATGAGTCGCCCATTAGGAGTGGCTTTCATTGCTCCCAGTGCCACTACTTACATCAATCTTAACCCAGGTGAGTTCATAAACTATTTAAATGACATCCCAACATTTCAGAAGCACGCGGTATAAAAATTGTAAATACTTTGTCCTTTTACAGGTTTCCGTGTTTATTATGTGGATGGGAATTACAAAGACAGCTCTCGGTTTGTTCTTGACCATGAAACCTACATCCTGAACCTCACAACGGCAAACCAAAGTCCAGGAGCGCCGAGTACCCCGGAGCAGAACCCCAAATGGACCCTGCTGTACCGCGCCACCGAGGCCTACGGTCTGACCAGCCTCTTCCCGTCTGACTGCGACGGGCTGATGCGGACCTTCGTCAACGATGACCGCAGCTTCCAGAAGTTCTGGTACTACAGACATAAAGGGCACGTGTCGGAGGCCTGCAAGGAGACGTGCAAAACTACAGTGTTGTGCTTCCTGCGCAGCGGGCGCTACGACGAGCTGGAGCAGTGCGACTTCCTCAACGGCTTTAAAGGAGAGATGGCCCGCGCTGCCAGAAAAACCCTCTGTTGACCTAAGGACGTTTGGACTTAATGTGTGGGTGAGGGAAAAGCAATATGACCAAATGTGAAAAAGAGCTGAAAAGAGGAAAGACCTTTTTCCCTGGTGGGTCAACAGGGATTGTTTTTGTTGAAAAGTATAAAGACTATTCTCACAATTGTCAAGGGTTTTGTCGACCTGACTTTATGTTCTCAGTTGGTCTTGTATTATCAGTAATGTTTTTACAAAGATTGTCACAGCCTTGGGTTTGTTAAAAGCTTTTTTGTAAAGACGGGTTTTGTTTACTTGAAGTTAGGTCAGGGTTGTCATGACTTTAATTATATTGTACTGACTGGGTGCCTTGTATCAGGAAAAATGTGTTAAACATATCTCCTTATCGAACATAATGCAACTTTAAAATGCCTTTCTACTAGAGAAGATTCATCATGTTTATCAATGTTAAAATCCTTGAGATGTATCAAGATTAAGGGCTTCATGACATCTCAAGACTTCCAATGAAATATAAATGCTTTCTTGTAAATTGTAAAAAATAACAGGAACTTGTATTTTGGGCTGTCCCACCCTTTAAAGGTTGTAAAGGAAATCAATAGTCCACTTTATGTATTGCACCTGGTGTATTAATGGATCTCCGCCTTTATTTCTCAGGTTTGAGCTTGGCAGAGTTGCTATGCAGCACACAGTATCTTCACCCAATCATTTTGACTCCTCATCAGCACCTGTGGATTTAGGTTGTTAAATTATTTACTTATCACCATCTGCCTCAGCATAGACGCCTGTAAACCCTAACAGTATTTGTCATTAAGGTTTACTTCTGTCTGCACTTTATTTGTTGTCTAACGTACAGGTTTGATAGACCCAAAGTGGGACAAGCATTGGAAGGCTTTCAGCTCTTGGTTTGCAACCTGTGGTGTGACATGTAATGCAACTTGTACAATGAGCAATGATTTAAAGAATGTATTAATTATGAATAAAATATGTATTTGGAGATACGTCTACTTTTTGTTTGCCGAGTCAAATGTTAACACAATCGGGGGGTGGGGGGGAATACATTGACATCTCAAAGTAAGCATACTTAACTTTTATATTGTAGTATTTTCATCTGCTGCCTAGTATTAAATGTGAAATACAAATCATAGATGACTATTAATATCGCAAGTGCCAGTATTCACAAGTTCTCAAACTGACAAATGTGGATTTGTTTTGTCACCCGGTGTTCTCATAACTCTGGTTTCTATTTCTAAGTGTTTCTGTGGGTTTCCCCTTACTGATAAAACATGATGGGCCTTCAGTAGTATAGATTAGGGCTGTGCAATTAATCGTATTTTAATCGCAATTACGATTTTGGCCTGCCACAATTACGAAAACATAATGGAAAAAACGATTATTTTGCTTTGCTAGGTTGTGACAGTGCACTGCAACATATTTGATCAAATGCATTTGTATTTATCATGTTTCGTAGCTTGAAGTGCGCTACAAAATATTTGTTTATTGGTATTTAATTTATTTTTGTATTGGTTTTTTAGTTGAATTATACGTTCAGGGAAAACGGTTAAAAAGATACTGTTCAAATTATTTGTATTAAGTTAAATGGATGTTTTCAAAGTCAATGAATAATCTTATTTAATCGTGATATCAATTGACAAATAATCGTGATTATGATTTTTGCCATAATCGCACAGCCCTAGTATAGATGTTCAAGAACAAATCTACTAAATACTTCAGGGGGGATTAATTAATACTGGCACTGGCAGGAAGTAGTGTTTGTCCAAGAAATATACTGTCAAAGACAACTGCAGCATAACCTTTTAGCATTATAATTTCTTCAGGCGCAAATGTTTTTCTGACTTTTTCAGTTCTATTTTAAGATGCTTAAAACAGTTACCACACTGATTCACTGGAAGACATAACATTTAATGGGAATTCTTCACATTATTATACATTTCAGTTTAAGTGCCTCAGCACTGCAGTCTGACTTAGTGCCTTTCAGATTGTACAACATATTTGATTCAAGTAATGCTAAAGTATCTTCAATTTTAACATTACACTCATGGTATTCACTGTACCAATTCCAGCTCACCATAAAAGTAAAACTAACAAGTCATTTATCATCTTCAGCTTTCTGAGGGGCTTTTATTCAGAGAAGATCATAGAGACACCAAAGTCCTCCTTGTACAGGTTCCAGGTCTTGGGTTTGTGAGGGTTGTCCAGCTCTTCTCTGGGTAGAAACAGCCTGTGGATGGAAAACAGTTCACATTCAGCACTAATGTCAACACAGACTAGCAAAAGATTTGAATTGCGGGGCTTAATAAACAATTGCATGAGAAACATACTTGTTATCCTCTATGAAGGAGGTATTGAACCAGAAGTAGAACGGAACATCTTCATATCCTTTCGGAAGACCCTAAGGGGAATGATGAAAACGAAAGAAGTGAATCATCACGCTGAACACCATCTTAACGGACGTGTAGTTCTGAGGTGTAAATGCAAGCACTCACAGCACTCGACTCAAACATGACCTTGACATCCCCTTCAACCACAGGCCCGTTCAGTAGACTGATGACTGCTGCATTGCTGCCCACATCAGGAAATACCTTTTTTTTTTAAAAAACACATTCACACACTCAACAAATGTTTCAGTATGACATGGGGAGTGAATGTGTCGAGTGTGAAACTTACTGTGCAGTTCTCCTGTTTGGCACACACACATTGAAACACCAGCTCTTTCTTCACAATTATCTTCACCTTGAGATCACTGCCATTACCTTTACCCACACCTGGGCAGAGGAGAAAAAAACTGTCAGATATTACGACGAAGAGATATATAAAAGGATCAATTACCCTGACCATTTTGAGTTTACCTGATATGGAGTGGATGCGGATGCTCTTGATCCTGAGGCTCTTGGGTGGAGGCATCTGTCTGTTGAACTTGGTCTTCATGACCTCGTAGTACCCCACGTACCGACTCTATTGTTCAGACAGTAAAGAGCTGAAACATCTTCACCCAGTGTCCAATGTTTTATATGAGGAAATATCACATGATACGGATACGATTGTGTTTTAAGAAAGGTAAATCCTGTTTATACAGTATGTTGCTTTCACCACATCGTAGTTTCATTTGACCACAGGGAGGCGCCAGTCAGATATATTTTTGTTATGTTCTAAAGTCCTAAAGAAATGCCTCTTTACAAATATTTCCGTCAGAGTGACTTCTTACCTGAGAGGGCGTCTCTACTCCCTGAAACTTTGAGCTCTGACTCTTGTCTGTCCTCCTCTCACCAAAAAAGTCCAGACTATCCTGGTAGACAAACGGAAAGGAATGTAAGAAAGTGTTGGCAAATGTTTTCCTTATTCATTAACCTTGCCTGTACAAATCTGAACTGTACCTGTGCGCTCTCGAACTGGTCGCTGTCAATAAGCCAGGTGCACACCAGAGTACCTGTGCGTCCTGTAAAAGAGAGCAGCAGAAGGTAAACTAAGAGTGGACGTTAAATAATGTCAGTGACTGTACATCAAACTAATGATTTATTTAACTCAATTTATTCAAACAATCGTCATCATCACCTTTCCCTCCTTTGCAGTGAATGGCAATGATGTTTTTGGGATCAGCAGACATCCACTCCCTCACGTTTGCTGTGTATTTCAGCATGTCCCTGAGACAGATAGTGGAACACAGTGGTAAAATAAAAACATTGAGATAAACTGGCACACTATTACAACACATACTGCTAGTTAATGATAGTTCATTTAGTTTCTTTTGGTGTTAAAATACTTTGTGGAAAACGTTGCAGTAATTTCACACGCCTTAAAACCTTGGGTTGTCAACCAGGTCAACCTAATACAGCAATATCATGACTGTGATAATAAAAGGGCCTATTGTGAAGCTGTAATCTAAAGTATAATTACAAACAAAGGGGAGAATGAAACAAGACATCACACAGAAAATGTGACTCACTCCAACGCGGGAACATTGTGGTCATCAATGAACACCCGCTCAACCTTGTAGTGGAAGAACTGCGGGTCGTAGCCCTTCTCACCTGGAAACAAAATATATTTGTATGGTTTGTGTAGTTCTATTTACAAGGAATGTGACATGTGACGAGAGGAGGTGCCTACTTACTGCACAGGTTGTAAACTTTATAGTGGTCTTCATGTTTAGTGTCTAGGAACCTCGCCACCTCCTGCACAAACAGAGAGGAAGGATAGGTTTTAACACATGTGGAGGTGTGTAAGAACTGTGGGATTATTTGATGTTAGAAGTTCCTTGAAATAATTATGCCTATGATTGTATTTGTTTTAAAATTGGTAAGTGTTATTAGATAAACCTTAAAGTTAAGTGTGCCCAGACTTACCCTGATTGGATTCCTGTAGAAGGACTGCTTTCCAGAGGAGGGGAAAGACATAGCAATGACACGGTCTAGAAAACAAATGTTCCACTTCTTAAATATTGTTGTCATTTATTTGTATTTTCTGTCGTGCACTTATGGAGCTTTTTTTAAGTCATACATAATTTAACACCTACCCGTCACATAGGTAAGGTCAAGGTCAAATCCATCCTTCTGATAGCGACGCTTGTTCTCAGAAACCTGGAAACAAGAATATTTCAATGATGGGAAAGTAGTAGACATTCTCCGAATGATGCAGATGCTATTTCTACACAGCCGCTGTCCTCCAGTTAACTTAAGTACATTCAATGTTTACAGTTTTCTATGCATCCATGGTGTTGTTGACCTTACCATCCTCCTGGTGACCTTCTCCAGCTCTTTTCTCTGAGCTGCCAGTCTGAAAACCCTCACTAGTATTATTATTCTCAGGAAACGGAAAAACGTCACCACCCTGAGGAAGAAAGAAGTAATATATACTCTTGAATCATTACTCATCATTTCAAAAAATATCGTCAGTGGCAACGTTTATACTGTAGAGTGATGCTATATATGGGGTTAGGATTGGTTGAAACCAAAACTACATGAACATACTGGAAAAGAAGGGTTAGAAAGAGTAACTGTGCGTCGAAATCTCCAAATAACATTACTAAAAACAAAAACTCTTCAGAAGCAATATCTTTTTTAGTGCCTTATCGCTTGTCATATGATCAGTTATCACACAGAGCTCATTAAGAAAACATATTTTTAACAGTGTTGTTGCTTTGACAGGTTTTTTTTATAAATAGTATTTAGGGCACTGGACACCAACACAGGTGTTTTTACGATTACCCTCACTGATTAGACCTACAGTCAGGTGGAAGCTGGGAATTAAATGATGTCCCCAATCTCTACAAACAGAGGTTAAAACTTATCAATCACAGTTAGTTCACAGACCTGGGGAGCAGTCTAATCAGGAAACATAGGTAAAAACAACTGTGTGGGTGGACTATGACTGTGTGTGCGCGTGTGTGAGTGTTAATCATTTTTTATCCACTACCATAAAACCAAAGCTTCTAGTCAGCCATGTCTATCAGGTGCATGGAAACACAGAGGAAAGCAAGTACCTGGGGATCAGATCGGCTCCTGACAGGTCACTGAAGGTGTAGACCATGGTGACCACCAGCGTGATTGCCACAACACAGGCGTCTATGATGTTTAACTTGAAGCTGAAGTAAACTTTGAACCTAAAAGATCAATTAAACAAAACATTAGACAATCAAAACACCCAGATCATGCAACTAATAGAGTCTGAATCCAACATTACTGTAATACAGTACAGAAAAGTATTTTTCAGGCAGGCTGCACTTCAGGCAGGCTGCACTTCAACTCTGAGTCATTATGTTTCCCAAACATGGCATACATTTCCTGTCCAGCTTCCTCTTCTTAGTTTCCTGTTTAACAGCTAATCACACTTGATTTCTGCTGACAGGGGACTCTGGGAATGTTTGCGTCACTCAACCGTTTCTCAAATTCACTAGGAAGCAATTGTGCAGTAAGCTCAAGGAGTAGATAAATTACATGTGATTTTTGGGAAATAGATTACAAAATATTTCATCCTGTTACAGCAACTACCCAACAGTGCTGCAACTGTCCACCTCCTTACAAAGTCTCATCACATAATTAACATAAGCTTCACAAAAGACAAGATGTGTAAATGTCTGCACCCCAACTGCATGCAAAGTCTTCTTTTGTCACTTACCCTTCCACATACACCCGCAGGAGAACGTCAGCGAGAAAGAATAAGGAGATGATGAGGGACACAGCCTCTAAGGCATCTCCAACCTCTCTGCTCTTGGTTGGCAGTGCCAAGTCCACAATCACCAGCACAAAGTCCACTATGATCAGTATCACTCCAAATATACTGGAGGAAAAGACAGATAGTTCAGCATCATCAAACAAAAACAGGCAACAAGAAAAACACCATTGGCATTTACTCCAAAAGAGTTCACACTCACCGAAATCCAAAAGACATAACAAACGGTGCAATCGTCTTGCGGATATTGCTGAAAGAACGAGAAATAATTAATGCTTTTCACTTAATGAATGTACAATGTCCAATCTGAATAAACGTACTGGTACATTGTGTCTGGTTCCACAATGTCATCCTTTCCATCTTCAATCTTCACGTTGGCTTCCTCCATCTTTGCAACGTTTCTAATTGATAAAAAGAAAGATAGTTAGACATAAAGAGTGATAGAAGATATGCACTAGGGCTGCACGATATATCGTGTCGTGACGATAATCGCATGCGCGATATTCACATCGCAGGAAGTGCGATATTAAGTAGGCAAATTAACTCAAACACGTCATGTTACAATTCTTTTGCTGCTTGCTACAAAAGGAAAACTCATGTCAGGGTTACTTGAGTGAGTGACATGCAGGCTCTGCATGCACAGCAAACCACCAATCACAATCAAATCTCCTAAGCAAACGGACCTGGTGATTAAAGGTAAAAACACTGAATAAAGTAGTTTCATGTGTTTCTCCAGGGCAGTTCGCCGCTGCTAACCGAGCTAGCTCAGCTTGTTGCTCTGATAACTTAAGATCCAGACATCCGTGACTAAAATCCTTCATCCGGTTAAATATAGTTAAAAAAATACCAATTGGCATTAAAGTTCAAGAAAGGATGGTTTGCGGACAAAAAAAGCAGCCTTTTCTTCAATTCCTGTATTTTTTCATATCGCAATAGGCTATATATCGCAGGATAAGAAAAATATCGCAATGTCAGTTTTTTCCAATATCGTGCAGCCCTAATACAGTATGCACACCTTTAAGCAGGCTCAAATAACAACCCCTGCAAACGAGCAGGATTAAATATTCCTCACCCATTTACACCTGAATCTGACCCTGGACTGAAATACACTGAGGACATGATGAGAGTGTCTTCCTTCTTGCTTTGTTCAGAGCGTGTGGACTCTGAAAACAAGAGTTCACAACGATTAAAACTCCCTTGTTCAGCATGTTGCTTTAATGTTATAAAAAAAAAGAACAGCGAGAGGGCAAAGACGCTGTGTCCTGTCCTGAAAACTGTATCTCTTCAGGAAAAATCCACCCTTTAAAAAGAGAGACAAACATGCTTTCTCATGAAACTTACAGGATGCATTAGTGCTGCTTTCCTAGCACTAATCGCTTAGCAACCTCATTAGTTCTGATTAGCGGTAGATGCAAAACATGTAAGCAAGCAATTGGCAGTTTGTTTAAGAAAAGTTAATTATCTAGCATTCCTCATAAACCTCTAAAAACAACAAGTTCGATTTAACAACACAAACCACCCGCTATTCAGCGTCTCTAACCCGAGCACAGCCTTCTCCCCCTTGCTTGTTGACCCAAATTAGCCCCCAAAATCTAGCTAAACTCTCGCCGCCTGCTTACCGTTAGGACAGTCATTCGTATAATTTTACGGGAGTTTGTCTTGTGACTTCTTCTTGTGAGGACAAAGGAAGACGGTTCAAAGGTTAACCGGGTAGATTTTTTTCTGTCCATCCACTTTCCTCTTCGTGTTTTGCTAACGTAGCGGTTTTGGACTTCCTGGAGCACTGAGTGAAAAACGCTCAGCTCTTTTCTCGATACTCTCTTTTCTCATCACAACCACTTTCACACGAAAACTGACTGGGTCTAACATTCCATTTCAGAACTTTCTACCATTATCTGATTTAAAAACAGGCTGCTGCAGCCCTCTCATACTGTATCTCCCTCCTCTCTGCAACATCTGGTTTTAATTGAAATCGCATTCTCAAACACCAACATATTCCTTACCGAGTTGGAAAAGTCTAACCGGTAGTTCAATGGCAACAGTGTGGAACATGTGTGGAAATTATATTTCACAATTAAAGGTGAGAGCCATTGAAGTCCATATTGATAAAAGGGAAAAGCAAAATGTAGGCCAAACTGGAGAAAACATGGTGGGGTAAATTCTTTAAAAAGTCACAGTGCTTAAAAAACCCCGTAGAAAAATCAACTGGTAGGCTATATTGATTAAAACACTTAAATGGGTTACTGAAAATAGATTGTAACTTTACCATACCACAAACTAACACAAGGGGGAGCCATATCCACAGAACACATAGTGAACTTGCTACTCTGTTGTTGTACCTTTTCAAATGTACTATGTTTTGGTCTTTTGAAATTATCAAGTTGAAAACATTTTTACTGCAAGGCTGACAACCCCCTCTTTCTCTCAGTAATGACTTTCTCTATTCTATCTTCTGCATTACTTTGAATCAATGTCCTCATTTTTTTTTTATGTTGAAGGGAGGTTAACCCTCATCAACTGAACCCTTTTTGCAAGGGTCAAATTGAGTTATTTTCAATTAAGACATTGGGTCCTACATTGGCATACATAATTGATTTAAGGGAAAAAGTGGTATATTCATAAAATATGTATTCACCAAAAAAGGAGAGTACTTTGTTAGCACGTCAAACTGGCTCGAGTTCAGTGTTTGACAAGGTTGTTCCATTCTGGATCCTCTAATGTGTACCATGCAGAACCGGCCCAGCCTATAAATAATACTGACGCATATTTTGAGGAAAAGAACACTGCACTTGGAGAAAACAAGGGAGACGTTTCGTAATATGAAGGTAGGCTGGTGCACAGATTTGTAATCAAAGTAGCTTATCTTGATATTCTTTAATACATAATTTGTTTATTATTTCAGACTAACAATGCAGTAAGGGACTTTTTCCAAAAGGTCATGCCGGTGTTGCTGTTGTTAGCTCTGGTGTGCCCAACCATGGCTTCTTCTTCTCCGGTGTCAGTATGTAGCTTTTCCTACTTTTTAAGCACTGCAGGTTTTCTGCTTTTGTATTGATATTGAAAATGGAAAACATATTTTTTAAGCAAAAATGACAAGCAGAGCTGCTAAAGAATTCCACGTGTATAAAAACTGATTTATAGATGGCTTTAGATGCAGCCCTTAGCTTTTGCTGGCTCCTCCATGGGTACAAGTATAGTATTAAACAAAGGTAGAAATGTCATTTATAAGCTGAAATTGTTTTCCTAATTGAAGGCAGTGGACTCATGTGGGCCAGAAGTTGCAGCTCTCAAGCGCAGCATAAGAAAACTGGAGAATCAACTCTTGATCGGGACTTGGCAGGTGGAGCACTTGCAGACACACAAATACTTTCAGGCATTTCAACCTCCCAAGTCCGATCCTGAAACGGAAACAGCCCTCGGTGTAAACCACAGCAGCAGTGGGATATTAGACAACTCTAATATGAAACTGATGAATCCACTTCCACCAGCAGGAAACTTAATTGTCCATGACAAAGGTAAGAAAAGCTCACAGATGATTATTTTAAGTGTAAGAGTTGTGATGTGCAGTGATGTACAGAGTCTACAGTGCATGATAGACTCACATAGCTCCATATTATGCAACATGAAGTATATTATGGAGGTACGGATGACAATCAGCAACCGTTAAGGCCTTTTCAATGCTATTTCATCTTATCAGACTGTTCTGAGCTGTTTGACAGGCTGAAACCACCAAGTGGCTTTTACCGCATCAGACCAAAAATACACCAGGAGCCTTTTTTGGCCTATTGCGATATGGAGGATGGAGGAGGATGGACTGTGTTTCAGAGACGTCGGCATGGAAAAGTTGACTTCAACAGGTATTTAAGTAAAGAAACTAACATACGTAGAGTAAGTGGGGGAAAACAATTACAGTCCTAAAAGCCTTGAATGCCTATATCATTGGGGAGCTTACACAGCTGTTTCAATTGAGGTAAATATCTGTCTTAATTCTCTTTTTAGAGACTGGGTGGACTACAGAGATGGCTTTGGTGACTTCAAGCTGTGGAATGATGAGTTTTGGTTGGGGAATGAGCACATGTATTCTCTACTCTCAGATGGTCAGAAAATAATGAAATGCCAGAATATCTTTTTATAATGTTCTGGCTGTTTGGTTTCTCATATTTTGCTTATTCATTTTTGCCCTGAAGGTAAGAACCTAGTGAAGATAGATCTCATGGACTGGGACGGGAAGAGAAGTTATGCATTTTATAACAACTTCAGGATCACTGACGAAGCCGTAAGATATGGTTTTACAGTTTTGTTTAATCCTGTCAGAAGTAACAACGTTTCCCAACAAACATCACTTCCTCTAATGCCTATTGCAGGACAAGTATCGTCTCCAGTATGGGCTCTATAGTGGGCAAGCTGGAGATGCTCTGAAAGGAGGTGGGGGGATGGTGGAGCAGTGGTCTGCTGGCCTCAGTGGCATGCAGTTCAGCACTAGAGATCAGGTTAGTCTTCTATTACCATTGTTAATTTATAATTGTAATAACTGTAAGATTATAGACTATTTTAACACTGATGGTAATCATTGACAGGACAATGACCGTTACATTCAAGGCAGCTGCGCTCAGGAGAATAAGGCAGGCTGGTGGTTCAACAGGTGAGGCCTTTCAGATAAATCCAAGTGTTGATCTGTCTGTTATCTTCCTTCCGCTAGTTTGCACAAACATTATAACATTCTGGAAAAAAAATTATTACTGTATCAGGTTTTGTGTGCATAACGAATCACGGAAAAATACTGCCGAGGACACATTTCTTTACAATTTATTCCAAAATCAAAAAATAAGTTTAAGACACAAAAGCTTTAAAAAAGGTTGAATCGCTTTGATTTTCATTTTAGAAAATGTAACATCCTTGACATTTCGTACTAACCTTTTATCTACAGATGTCATGCAGCCAACCTTAATGGGAATTTCTACCGCAAAGGGAAGTACAAGGGCCAGCAGGACAATGGTGTGGTGTGGGGGACCTGGAGGGGCCTTTGGTATTCCCTCAGACACACCACCATGAAGGTGCGGCCTCTGGTTTTCTTGGATGTCATGGGCAGTGGAGCAGGAGAAATGTAAACATCACACTTCATATTCCCTTGTGTGTCTCAAAAGCGAGGGCAAAGACTGATTCATATCTTTGTGTTCAATTGTTTGGCTTTGCTTCACACCTTGAAACCATTATCAAATGTTAATGATAGTAAAGTATCTTCTACTTTCCAGTAAGTACTATCTTCTATAAGTGTATTTTCTAAGTGTATAATGCTACTCATAATAATAAAACAATCTTCAAAACAGCCATAATGCCTCACTGACATTTATAAACTTGTTTGCCCAAAAACATAACTGCATACTTTTGTTCTTCCTTGTGCATTTTTGCAGAAAATACATGACCATTTCTTGACACTGCATAGACAATTTCCCCCTAAACAACATAGTACATCATCGTGAAAGTGGTTTTCACCAAAGCAACATTTTCTATGCTTACTGTATACAGCAAAACTTCACAGCTTAAAATCAGCAAATTCAGTAGTGTCGAACAGAAAAACTAATATGTCTTCTTTAGTCTTTTGAATACTGTCAACGATAGGGCTTGTGTTTAACAGTGCATACACCAGTACAATGCCATGTTATGTTTGACTTATAGTGGTAAACAGTAAACCATTACATTTAAACAAAGATAATTTGGCATATCAAATTTGGCATATTAAAAAGTAACAGTTAAAAAAAAGAAAACGTTCCAGTTAAAAAAGGAAACTAAATGTGTTAACATCTGTTCTTATAGATAAACTCTTGTTTAATGTACTGTACAAAACCATTTTCAAGTTTCACAGATACATCAGAAAGGAATAATGTAAGGAAAGGATAAACGCTAATGGCAATTCCTCCTGTGTAGTACAAACCTCTACTCCTCTTCCCCTACATATGCTGAGGACAGATCGAGGTCTAGCATCCTCTGCTCGGCCTCACTCAGCCTGTAGCCTCCGGACATGGGCAGAGAGTTGCAGCGACCTGTCCTCTGCTCCGTGGGCGTTGCACTAAAGGTGGAGCTGCGCTGCCGGCCCCTGACCCCCGAGCACGACTGAGCCTCCTTTAATTTGCGAGCCAGGATGTTCCTCTGGATAGGCGACGGGCCGCGGCGGTTCCAGTTCTGCTCGGCCCGCTCTGCCCGATCAACACTCAGGTGTTGAGGCCCTGCTGCCGGACCCCCTATCCCAGAGATTCCCTGTCCACCTCCAGTACCACTGAGGTCTGCTTTAACATGCTTCTCAGATGCTGAAATGCTGTTTGTGTTGGTTCCTGTGTGTTTGATTTCATTGTTGTGTGAAGTCGCAGCTGTGTCTATCCACGGTTTCCTTTGGTCATTCCTCTGGGCTCTGGATTTAGCCCAGTCTGGGGTCCCGTGCTCTGGAATGGGGTAGGAGCTGTATGGCTGCCTGTCTCGTCCTCCTTTATTCCAACAACTACCTTCAGGAAGGGTCCGAGATCCCACCTAAAAAAGATATGTTTGTTAATTAAAAAAGGCAGACTACAAATTATAACCCCATATACAGTTTATATATACACATAAATAGATGTAGATAGAATACCTGTGTCATGCTCCTTTCTCTAAACTGCCTGGAGTGTACAGAGGATAGAGGTTGGGGTTTGGTGTCATTGAAACTGGAGGTCCGGCGGAAATTTGGATTCTTATGATAGGAGTTTCCCATCTCTGCATCTCCCCCTCCTCCTCTGAGACCTGATAACCCACTTCTCTCTACCATCTCCACCCAGTCTGCAGTGCGGTCCCGCCTATTTGAGCTGCCCCCTCTTGCATGGGCGGAGGCAGACGGACCTAAGACCAGCTCCACTCTGGGACTCAGTCGGTCCGGCGTGGCCCTAGGAGTCTGCGATTGAAAATAATTGTGGTTTGCGTCGTCCTGGAGGTCTAACGGGAGCGCGGGGTGAGTAAATCCAGTTGGTGTAGGGATAAGCGAGCTTGTGGGCGAAGCAGATGCCAGGGTGTCATGGACTGGGCTCGAAGAGACATGGTAGAGCTGAATGGCCTCTCTTATACCCTTCTTCTTCATCTCTTTCAACTGCTGCTGAGCCAATCGGTACCTAAAGACAATAATATTGATATTTCTATTACTGAATGACAGAATACGTTTCCCAATGATGTGTAATAAGAGAAAGCATTATTCTAAACATACCCGAATATTGGTGGCAACAGCTTCTGACATGTGGGGGAAAGCCTTTCTGGGTCCTGTGAGAGAGGTACAACCAGGGTCTGTGGGAGAGGCTGACTGCCCAAAGAAGGGCTGTCCTTCTGGGCTACACCCACACCCACACCTATACCCCCCTGTAGTCCATGGCCATCAATCAGGCTGGGTCTTTGGAGGCTGTGGCCACAAATGGACGCCTCATCGGAGAGCTTGCGTCCTCCAGGGGAATGCATGGAGCCTCTGCGGACAGAGTTGCACTGGGGGGTCTTGCAAAGCTTCCTCCACAAAGTCACCACAACAGTAGCCAGAATCACAGCCAGGCAAAGGGAGATACCGGCCACCACAACTATGTTACCACCAAGGGGTGTTGCACCAACACCCACAGGGGGGAGGGATGGAGAAGGAGTAGGCAACACTGGGACGAAAGGGAGACAATTATGTTAATATGACAAGTATGCATCACATCGTTTTTTGTTTGATTTTCTAGTCTAGAAAAGATGAGGAAATGTGAGATTTTCTGGAGAAATTGTAGGAACAGAGAATCAGAATCAGAATTAAGTTTATTGCCAGGTACCTTTACACATACAAGGAATTTGCTTTTGTATCTGGTGGTGCGAACATAAACAATCTAACAAAATAAGTTGCAAAGTAGGTACAAAAATAATATATATAAGGATAATAAAAAATAAGTATTTACACCACATTTAAATGTAACTATACAAATAAACTTAAAAGTTAAAAGTTAAAAAACACTTCGGACAATGAGTTTATGGCAAACTACAGTGTATTATATTTTGTGGAGGGATGTGCAGACGTGTGCAAAAATGTGCAAAAAGAGTAAAGAAAGGAGATACGGGATGAAGAGACTGACCCACACAGTTCTCCAGTGAGCAGAGGGACTGTTCCTTCACCATGCCCGTGCACTGCATCCCCCCCACACCTGAGGGCAGCAAACACTCGCGCTCTCGCTCCCTCACCCCCTCTCCACAGCTCACACTGCACACACTCCATGGCAGCCACGGGCCCCATGACTCTGCAAAACACACATTCGATTTTTAAAATTGCAGATACATTTCTAAATGTACAAGCATTAACTTTGAGTTCTTTTCATGCAATGCTAGGATCATAAAAAAAACTATAACATGGAGTTAAAAAAGGCTCAACCATCATAAAACATTGATGCTTTATCCCCAAAATAGACAAAGTGAGGACAGAGTGAAAGAAGCAACTATATAACAAGAATGTGATAGTTCAATGAATCTCCATTTAATGTGTTATGTCATAAAATACGTGTGGCTGTATCTGAATACATTGACGATGTGTGATCTAATTAGGTCACCCTTCACTTTAAAACCAAAAAAATAAGTATTTTAGTCTTGCAATCCCTAAAATATAATTTATTGAAACTTTTTTGTTTTAAGTTTAACTGCATAATTACTATTGGTGAACCTTATGAGGTTGTCATCTTTTGTCACGATGCAATGTCCACCCTAAACAGGATAGTGCTATTTTTAAATATGGAATGACAGCGTGACAATGAGCTAGCCGCAGATACAATACCAGGAACTGGAAAGCCTAGCAGCTCAATGGTATCCAGCCATCATTCATTTGTATTGTAACACCTGTGCTTCTGACATTGTGACGTAAAGTTACAATATGATGTAGTTAAGTAAAAATGACTTATATGGAAAATGCCTAGTCTTTAATGAGGCAATTTCTTAACCATTGACTTTGTTTTTATCCAGCAACAGATGCATTTTTGGAAAACGTGGAAGAATAAGGAAAAATATATCTTCCCTTCAAAATGAATGTTATAAAACATCACAGTGTAAATGTTCTTTGCAGCTGTCAAATGTAAATGTATTAATTCATGAAATCTCACCTGCACTCTTGTGAACCACCAAACAGGTCTGTGCAGGACTAGGGGAACGACTGAAGTTGAAAACGAAGCGAAAGCAGTACTTGTACCTCCCTGGGTCAAACACAGAACAGTTGAACTCAGTCTCATTCTCTCCCTGAGTCAGCCAGTTATAGGCCAACAGTGGTGAGGAGGGCTCCTCTGGTCCTAGTGCTGTTCCTCCTCCGTCCATCCCGGAGGAGACAGCAACGCCTCTCCCAACACCTGCCTCCTTATAAAGCATCACTTTCCCATTGACGTGCACACAAGGTGGAGTTATCAGTTTAACAGTCATAGTTCCTTCACAACCACTCCTGTAGGCATTGGTGTTTTCCACTAGCAGCTTATAGGAGAAGATACGGGACAGGTAGAGAGGCCCGGAGCTCTTCACATCCTGCGCTGCATGAGGAGAGCGTAGAGACACTCGTATGAAGTCTCGTTCTGTGAAGGGGAAGGCGCAGGACAGCTCTACACTCTGGGAGCGGAGGGGTTTGATTGAGTGTTGTTTGCGGGCTTTGACCTTGTCGATGGTGATCCGTCCTATCTGGTTGTACTCCATGTAGCTGACTTCTAGGAGGAGAGCCGAGTCAATACCGCTGGAGCAAGCCTGAAAGTGTTCATTGGTGGATATCCCAACCTGGAGAGAAACAGACAAAAGTATGAATCACTGTGTTCATTATTCTGCAGCAAAAGAAAGACTTGCCTAAAGGTCAGCTATTATGCAAAATCCACGTTTTCATGTTTACTATACATAAATAAAGATATGTGTGAAGATATTCTGGAAGTTTCAGGAAAAAAGATTCTCTCTCTTTTTGATCCATTTATATAAAAACCTGTCTCAAAATGAGCCGATCACATTTTGGCCACTTTATGATGTCATAATGTTTTTTTGGCTTGTGTAACCATTAGCCAATCACCAACCAAGGTAACCCCCCCCCCCCCCCCCCCCCCCCCCCCCCCCCCCCACCTTATCACCAGAATCTCCTCCTAGAGCACCATTGTGTTCTTTTGAACCAAATATCTCTCAGAGGGGTGTGGGGAGCGGCTCCTTATTTTCATCTAAAGTAACAGACAGAGAATCAGCACTTTTGAAACAGGGCTGAAACAGAGGGGATTATGGGATGCTGCAATGATCTGTTTGGTATTTCAGCCAAACACTTCAGAGACATGTTTTGTACATATCTGAGACCTATAATATATTGATGACAAAGAGTATAATAGGGGACCTTTAAGAGCAGTTTGTCTTGCCTGAAAAGATCCCGAGTGGTTTCCGGCCCTGTCCACAGCGATGTGAAAGGTGGGCCACTGCACCTGCAGTTCTGAACTCCACCACCAGGTAGTACTTTCCACTCGACTGTCATGTGTGCCATTAGCAGGAGAAACAGCCGAGGTGCTGGTCTGCCTCAACTGGAACCGGAAAGTTCCTGCGTACAGGAAGCAAGAACAGTTGAACTCCACCCTGCCAGCCGATTGGTTGTCGGGGAGAGTCCTGGTCTGAACAGTGGTGTTGGTTTCCGTGTTGACCAGAGAGAGGCTCGTGTTGCAGGCCGTGCTGCTGTTGGATTTTGTGCTGAAGTCCACAAATACACTGGCATTGCTAAGGGCAACGTGCAAGGAGGGCCAGATATTGAGCCCTGCAAAAGCTACAGGAAAGGATGCACAGAAGTGAGAGAGAGCAAAATGAGAGATCATGTTACATTTTTGTTCATGCATCCTACACAAAAATTGTCAACCGATGGAAAAATGTTGTGTCACAGATATTTTTGTTGTTTCTTTGTGTATTTTATATCTGCTTTTGTATATATTTCTTGATATGACTTTGCAAGTTGTCTGTTACTGTGGATAAAGTGTGTTTCACTTCAGTGATTTAATAACATGACATTTAAATGAAAAATTATTTATCATAACGTTTGTCTGGAATTGTATAGGACAGCTTGTGTAGTTAATGTTTCCAATGTATGGAAAGTGGTAGTCAAAGGGGAACATTGTTAGTTGAAACCAATCCATTTGGGAGAGTTAGTTGTTGGTGTCACTTTTGACAAAATAACAATGCATCATGATTTATAATACAAACAAATGTAATTTACAATTATTCAATCATTACAAAAATGAATTATGTATAGGCCTACTGTCCTTTTCCAAGTCACATTCACTTCCATTGTATTGACCAGAAGGCCACTAATGATGGAATTTGCCCATTACAACTTAATAATAAATGTTAAGCACAGACACTGTGGGTCCACTAAAACAACTGATAGGCATCAGTAGTTATACGCTTCATATTTTACACAATTACACAAAATAGGTTAAACATTTAGTTGGTAACTACTTACCGGTACTTCTGAATAGTTTAACCTATTACAATAACCCCACCAGGGGAAAAGTAAATATATTGAACCATGGTAACATATTTTAAGAGCAATTGTCCTGCGTAGTGTGTGAAACATGTTGTGCAAACTCTGCAGAGCAAAGAGGGTGTGGGAAGAGGAAGAGGGGCACCTTTTATTGCCCCGTCATTCATTTCTCCAGGGTGGTAGAACACGTTTAATTTATGATGTGTTAGCATGTCCAGATGAAATAGAAATCTGCCATCCTTGCAAACATGTACAGTAGTCATGTTATTAAGAAAGTTTAGTGCAGGGGTGTCCAAACTTTTTTCACGAGGGCCACATTCAGAAAAATATACGAAGGGCTGGGCAGCTCACTAGAGGTATACTGCCTCATAAGTTCAGTTATAAGTTAGCAAAATCAATCAAATGTAGGTAAATGATGCTTGTGAGTGTTGGCAGCTCATCCCTTAAAACAGAAGCCTCAGATTGATTACATGTATAATAAGGAGAAATAGGAAGGGTGTATTTCAAGCTTATTATGTAAATAAGTCAATGGGCTTTTTTCTTATCAACTAAGATATGTTAGAACATTTTTCCAACTTTAATTGACTGAATTTATTTGTGGGTTTCTTAACACATGAATACTACTGTGTAATATATGTTTTACATTTATAGTTAACAAGTACAATATAAGACAAGCTCAAGTTTCATTTGTGGGCCATATTTCATTATACTGTTTGTAATTTGCTGAGGGCCGATACAAAATGGTCCGCGGGCCGCATTTGGCCCCCGGGCCGTAGTTTTGACACCACCGGTTTTTTGTAGAGACTCACCATATCCCATGAGCGCCAGCAGGAAGGGCAGCAGTGAGACAGCTTGTGGCATTCCGATGTCTGTGCCTCTGTTTTCTCCTTCACCACATGACCTTCCTCTTCCACCATCCCTGACCTCTACAAATCAGAAATCCAAAATATAGAAATATTCCACGAGAAGGCAGCAGGCAATAAGCAAACACACTTGTTGGAGTTAGCAGACAGGAGAAGGTATGGAAGGCGTAGCACACTGATCTGAGGTCTGCAAGACAGGAAGGCTAAAGCATGGAGCTGTGACCCTGGTTCTCTGGATTTACAGTGGCGTCTTCCTTTTCCTCCCAACTTCACAATGGGTAGCCCGTGGAGAGCTGCCATCAACACAGAACTGTAGAAGTTGCCAATAACAAATATTTGTCCAAATTGTTGTTGTTTGGATGGTTTGTTTGGGTTTTCTCGATTTTTCCTTAGTCACACAATAAACTTCTTACTATCTCTGAAACAAATCCCAAACTTGATTTTTGGCACCAGATTGCTACAATTTACATTTTAAACTCCTATTTAAATATAAAAACAATTTGGGCCTGCTTTATTTCAGCCATAGACTAATCAAAAATGTTGTGGTGGCAATTAATCACATCAAATGGATCAAAAAGTGTGCCTAATATGAATTCTCATGGTGAAGACTCTTATAGCCTACAGAGTCAACTCAACACCCATTATCTTTCCATTATACTTTACTGAAATGTGTGCTTAGCCACTGGGAAGACTGCATTTATAAAATAATATCACACATCATTCTAAACCTGAGGTATTGCACAGAGTGCTAAAGATAAGGGGTCATAATCGTCATTGTTTTTAAGATGGATAATAAGGATTACTCACATTTCTTGTTGACTCAGCACAGCATTATTTCTATCCAATATTCCAACACAGAAACCGGCAACAACACTCCCTCCATGCGCTGGTAATGCATGTATTGTCAGGACGGCAGTGACAGTCGGCGGGACAGAATCAGACCAACAGAGTTCTCCGGAGGCGCGCGCCTGTGTCGAAAGCGCGTGAGAGAGATCCGCTCACAGCTCAGATACTTCACGGTCAGCGGGCCTATTGAATACTCTTTTTGAGACTCACAAATGTGTTCCTTACATGTTTTTTTTGTGTATTTATATACAATTCTGAAAAACATTAAGAGACCACTGCAACATTATCCGTTTTTCTGGTTTTACTATTTATAGGTATGTGTTTGAGTAAAATGAACATTTTTATAATTCTATAAAACTACTGACATTTCTCTGTGGTGAAATTCAAAAGACACTATATGGAATGGCTGCCAGACATGTAGATATTGAGATTTAAGAAAAATGTGGTCTCTTAATTTTTTCCAGAGCTGTATATAATTGTGTCATTGAATAAACATTCAAATGCACAAACATATCATATACTTACCAATACTAACTCTGCGTAGCATAATTATGACGATTAAAACAATAAAAGATATCAGCTAAATAAAGTTTCATGTAAATCGAATTACAGAATACAAGAAAACATTATTCGTACTGTTTGATAGTTTTATCTTTTTTTTTGTATGAAAGTGTTTAACACTTTAAAAGTATTATTTAAACTCACATTAGGATCTAATACAATTGGGGGTAACTTGTTTTATGTAAAACGTTTACCATAAATGTAACGTCAGGCCAAACTATTTACTGGTTTGGCCTATTGCACTGCAGTGAATCATTAAAGAGAATGTTATCAGTTTTAAAAAGACTCCTAGGTCATTTAAAAAGTGACTGCATGCAGAAATATGTGCGATTAAACGGTTTGAACTATAATTTGCGCCTTCAAGAGGCAGTCACATAAATCTTTCTTTATGGCAATGGTTGTTAAAGATTCCATCTAAAAAGAAACTCATGATGAAGTCATATGGAAATTCAGAAAGGATAGCATTGTGTATCCCCAGTTGTCCCAGGAGGCAGGCAGGGTAACAAAATAAATCTGTGTACACATGCAGTCATGATAGTAAACAGCAGAACTATTTATCTCACAAAATCAGATGAACTTCCCCCTATACAGACGAGTGAAGGGTTTTCCTTCTCTAAACCACAGATGAAAGAAAACCATGATTTGTGCTGATAGCCAATCAGCATATTGATTAACTTAAAAATGCATCATTGAGTAAATTAATTTTAGCATGGACAAACAGGACCTATTTTGTTTAGAAAAACGTTGTCAATATCGTACACGAGTCCCTAATTATTGTATTCAGAAGTGCCTCAGTTCAGCTCTCAAGCTTCCTTGAAAACAATTACGTTTTAGCTCTATCAATATATGAACAGCATGTCAGGGTAATCTAATCAGCTGCAGACCTTCATTTTCTCCAGACAGTCGGCGAAAACAGGAAGCTTCTTTTGCGATGGATCCCCCTTTAATCTTCAGATCAGTTCACAATAGGACCAAAGAAGAAGCCTTCCAGGGACAAAGATTGAAAAACAAGAATGGAGGTAGCACTCCAAGCAGAAAGTAAAGTCTCGACATTTAGACAAGTAACTAAATCAAGTGGGATTTATTTAGATAACTTCTGCAGTTGAAGGGATTCATTCGCTGTGAATCAAACTGGCAGCACATCAGGCATTTTATCTTGGTCTTTTCTTGGATGTAGTCTAGACAAAACCTATTAGATTAAATGAAAGTTTGACTGGAGAAAAAAGAAATATAATGCTGTTTATGGACAAGACTGAGAGACTAAAACAAGAAAAAGGATGTCATGGTAGGGTATTCAAATGAATCTGTGCATGTTCTCTCTGCTCTCAGAAGATGAGACGGATGCTTCATTACGTAATTATTTATAACAAAACATTTTATTTTGAATTCAGAAACCATGTGAACAGTGACTAAAGCCTTATTATTATTATACTCCACAGTTTTTTTAAACAAGGTATGAGCTCTGTGACAAAATGCACAGTGTATATTCCAGTAGGCCAATTTTCCCACTTGGTGGTCACTCCATCAAGCAAAGCAATTTGGGAACTCTTTGCTGCATGTACAGTATTTATTTGCAGAATTCTTTACCCCCTTTTTGGCTCTTAGACCTATAGAAAAGAGCTTGTTATACAGTGGATTGTAATATAGCACTAACGGAACTACAACCGTTTAAAAAACAATGACTAAATACACTCTGCCGCTGGAGCCAACATCAGCCAACCAGCAAAGACAGTATAGCCCAGTTGAAGATATGTTTTTCTATCTTAGCTATAATAACTCTAAGCATTTAAAAAGAGATTTGGGTAGAATCTCAGACCCTCCACAGAGTCATCTCGACAGAGGTGGCCCACCTTCTCAGCCAGCAACAATCTGAAGATGAAGCAGGGACACAAAGACACGAAGAAGAAAAAACACGAGTGATTGAAAGCAATAATGAACAATAAAATGAGAAAACAGTGAATCTTTTCTTTGTTGTACCGTAACAGACAGACAGTTATTTACTTACCGCTCTTTAGACAGAAGAACAGAGAGACCCAAGAGCTTTGCAAACTCCTCTGCTGTCAAAGAGCCTTTGTCGGTCACCTGAACAGGGGAGAGATGATGACATAAGAGAGGGAATTCATCACAAAACTTTAAAACCTAAAAGTGTTTGCTCGATATTTAAAATATATTTACAGAACCAGTCAAAGGTTTGGACAGACCTTCTCATTCAATGGTTTTTTGTTTATTATATATTTTTTCTACTTTGTAGATTAAGACTGAAGACATCAAATCTACGAAAGAACACATATGGAATTATCTAGTTAACAAAAAAGTGTTCAAAAAATCCAAACTCCAAACTTTTGACTGGTAGTGTACATCTCAGACAGCATGCTGCTTGATCAGTCAAAAGCGTGTCAATGTTAGTATAGTGTTTGTAACTGTGAAGCTTACATAGTCCAGTGCTGAGGCGATCATTTCCTCTTCACTGTGAGACTGCAGCTGGACCACCATCACACCACTGTCAAACACACGTAGCCTACAAACAAGTCAAAATGCATGAAGGAAATGTGAGATGAAGACAGATTTATACTGAATTAATTTCTATGAAACTAAAATAGCGAGCTTAAGAAAAGCAACCAGTCTGGGGTCATTAGCCTGTTGGAGAAACAGGCCAGAGTTTCTTTTGGGAACCCTGGGTACTGACAGGAAATGACAGTCACAAAGGGCTGGACAATACTTCCAACAACAGGAAGCCAGGCAGGAAAAGTCTGGACTTTGTGAAGCAGGCGCCAACACCCTGCCTTGTATGCCTATAATAATCCCAGAAGCTGGTCTATACATGAAGGAATGTATAAAAGGGTGACAAACAATGCTCACCTCAACGGTAGCTTCAACGACTCAAACATCTTGCACGCGTTTACCAAATCTTCTGGAGATAAAAGCTGTGCAAAGAGAAAGAAAAGTAACCTCAGTTTCTGACAGGCTACCAAAGATATTTGTGTGTAGCATGAATGTATAGATTGCAATGTTGTGTATCACCAGTTCAACCAGAATGGACATGCCCACTCAAGTTTGATCTGTAGTAAATTGAGTTTACCTCCATCCCTCTGGCGCGGTTTACGAGACAGTACACCTCAGTGAGAGCCATCATACCGCCACGCTCCTGAGAGAGGACAGAGTGATAGAAACAGAGGCAAAAATACATAGAATTGTAAACAGTGTTTGATATAAGCCAGTATAGATGTGAAAAACGTGACACACACACATTCACACCTACCTCTAGAGGGGCCTGTAGCATATCTCCCAGCTGCTTAGCCAGCTGCATATGGTAATGTGTACCCGTCCCATACGTTTCTCTGGTAACAGGGTTGGCAATACCCATGCTGAGCAGGTAGGACTTGAACCGTATCGTCTATAAAGCAAAACATAACAGTTAAAGGTCACCTATTGTGCAAAATCCACTTGTTCATGTCGTTTATACAGAGATTCTGAACATTTCAGGAAAAAAGATTCGCTCTCTTTTTGTTTTATATAAAAACCTGTCTGAAAATGAGCTGATCAGATTTTGGCCACGATGTGATCTCATAATGTTTTTTTGGCTTGTGTAACCATTAGCCAATCACCAACCAAGGTAACCCCCCCACCTTATCACCTGAATCTCCTCCTAGAGCACCATTGTGTTATTTTTAACCAAATATCTCTCAGAGGGGCGTGGGGAGGGGCTCCTTATTTTCATCTAAAGTAACAGACAGAGAATCAGCACTTTTGAAACAGGGCTGAAACAGAGGGGATTATGGGATGCTGCAATGATCTGTTTGGTATTTGGAGCCAAACACTTCAGAGACATGTTTTGTATATAACCGAGAACTATTGTATAATATATTGATGAAAAAGAGTATAATAGGGGACCTTTAAAAACGAATTGAAAAACCAAATTGTGGGCAGTTAAGAGGTAAAATTGCATGGTGTAGCAACATCATGCAGTCTTTATCACTTGTTTAAAATCTTCCAGTGAGGTTTGAGAGTAATACGAAGATGTTTTAACTATTGCTGAACGTACAGTAATTTGAAACCACGTCCATTGTCCTCCAGTTTCTGTGTGTGATTATGTTGGTCAAGCTCTTACCTCGTCTTCTGAAATGTCTCCCTGCTTGTCTTTGATTTTGTTGGCAATAGATCTGGACAGCTCCACCATCTCTTTGGCCTGTTAGACAGTCAAAACCCACCACATGTCAGTATATGAGCTTAACAGAGATATCAATGGTTAAGATGTTTAAATGATCATATAGTATAATGGATTACATTTGAGAATACTTGTATTATTATATTTTGTAAGAAATTATGCTAGAGGGAAGGTGAACATACAAAATGAGAGCATTCGTTACCTTCACCATCAGCTTACTGAGGTCCTCAAAAGCCTGGAAAAAAGAGACTAAATTGGTTATAGTGCTAAAAAATGTTAATAATTAAATTAACAACAACACTTTATGGCTACAGATATAATTTGAATATAATTCCAGAGCAATCCCACCACTCCTCTAGCTGATAATAAAACTAAATTGTCTGCCTCGACGTAAACCCACATTTATTTTCCGTGTCAAATCTTTTAAAAAGCTAAAAATAGCTTTTATTTTATCTTTATTGTATGTAATACACACATTAAGTTTATCTTACAGCAGTTGTGTAACTTTTGAGATGCCTTACGTGTGTCAGCCTCAGTGGCTGTGGTCAGCTTAAATAAATTCCAATGGTTTTACAGTCATTTTGGTCAAAATATGGAAAAACGCAAAACTTAAGCTTGAAGCTTTGAGGATAAATATATCTAAATATTTCAGTTGATAGTACCTCACAAATGTTTTTGTCTGTTTCTTTCCTCTTCTCCTCTATCTTCCTCTCAATGCCAACAATACCCACGGCACGCGTTCTTCCCGCCTACATGACCACAAAGGGAAAAAAAAACATACTTAGTGAAGCATGCAGGCAGTTTAAAAGAAGCCCCAAAATGACAAGGAATGTCAAATAGTGAGGAGGGAACATATTGTGGTTCACAGCTGTTAGAGAACATACATCAATTTTAGTTTCTACTGTACTATTTCATAGTGTTTATCCAAAAAATGTGATTAATGTAATCTAATTTGGAGACACATGAGTGAATGCAAGTGAAAGTAACAGCCTACACAGAAGCTTACTTTTACTCCGGTGCGAGTCATGCTTTGGTATTCTACTTATATTAATTGTAAAAGCTATTGATATATATGTCACTTTCCTATATCAGTAAATAGTTAGAGGCAGAAGTTCTGAATATTTAAGGCCAAGAATAAAGAAACAACACTGCCATCAGCTGGAATAACATTTTAACTGACATTATTCTTATCAAGCATCTTAAAAGACATTCTCAAAGACATTTAGAGGAAAATATATTAGTTTGATTAAAAAGGAGCCTTTATTGGGCTTCTTACCTGTGAGCTAGTTCCTGCGGAGATGGGTTGTGACACCGGTGTACTCTCCCATCTCTTCTGAGTCATTTCCTCTGTTAGTCTCCTGTGAAACTGCAAGAGAATGACACCTAGTCAGGTTCATGCAATACATCGTTGGTGAATACAAGTTAGAAAAAGCATTTTTCACTACTTGTAACAATAGAAGTACCTCAATCTGCCCGTGTTCCTTGAATGAAAGCTTGATGAAGGAGTACTTGCTGTTTTGGTAGGGACCCGGCTCCTTATTGGCAGGTGTTTCTTGCAGGTGGATAACTATTTTTGCACTAAAGGATCAAATATGCCAAAAGTTAATAGACCATTTCAATCCTTTACATTTAAGTTGCTGTTATTAACAGTGAAAAGGTATTCTATCTCAAGTTCCCCCAACTAAATGGAGTTTGTCCAGAGCTTTCAACTGCTGGGGCCTATAGAAACTATGATATTCTATGATTACCTTGGTTGGTGATTGGCTAATGGTTACACAAGCCAAAAAACGTTATGACATCATAAAGTAGCCACATCTGATCAGCTCATTTTCAGACAGGTTTTTATATAAATGGATCAGGACAAAAAGTGAGGGGGTCTTTTTTCCTGAAACTTTTAGAGTCTCTTTACACAGAGGGGACACATGTTGATGTAGAAAAGACATGAAAAAGTGGATTTTGCATAATAGGTGGTAAACAAAACACAAAACATATAAAATGTGCTTATTCTTAATGAATTACTTAAACAATACTTCTCAATTTTGCTGATAGAAACCACACAATATACTTCCTGACACTCACCTCTTTCCTATCCCTGCAGCCTGCTCCTCAAATAAGAGAATCTGTGACAGAGGCATGGCAATACAGCATTCCTACAGGTGACAGAAGAAATACTGAATCATCATGAGAGTCGGCAAATGTGAAAATACAAATATATGAAAAATAGCACAAACTCTCCGCACTATCAATGCTGTCTTACATGGTTTTTAACGTCCCTCCAGATCAACCGATGTGTGCTCAACAAGGCCACTCCAACATCCAGTTTAGCCTGGTACAACGACAAAAAAATACATTGTGTACTTATATCTGATCACCTATACTTTAACTATCCATCTAACCATCAAAAGTGGTGTGTTATTATTAAGCTTTCCAATGTTGCATGTAAGTTTGAGGTATTGTGTTGTTGTATCAGAAGTATACCTTATCATCTCCGTCATACAGCCTGACACCCCGCTGCTGAATAACCAAAGTTTCGTTAATTTCTAAGAGCCCATTTGACCACGAAAAGCGGTCCATTTTTGGTATTTTAGATAATATTCCTAATTCTACTCCTCTGCCGAGACCATTTTATGTTTACTTCCTGTACGCTTTCCACAACTGGCCTGACTGTGCCTGATTGGAATCACTCAAACAGAACATACAAATAATACAAGTTATATTTAATTATCTTAATGATTATGTTGGATGTAACTAAACTCCTTGTAGCCATAACAATACCAAAACTAGCTGTAATAATGTTATTCTTTTACAATATGTGATACTCGGGGTCTTTTTAGACAGGCAGCCTCTCGTGGGTCCTTCCCCGGTGTTGACGTTACTAGCGCCAGCTGTCAGAGGAAGCTACAGAGCATCTGTGCCGCTATCTATCCTAGCGCGTTATTATGAATTTGTTCATGAATTTCCACATTTTCCAATCTCCATCGTAACTATCGCTTGCATCAAATTTAAGCTAAGCCTGAATGAACAGATGTGCAAAGAAATCCGCTTTATTTAGTGTATTTTTCGTGAGCTGTGATCAGAATTAAGGTAGCTTTAGCTGGCTAGCTTGTTGTTAGCTGCGGACAATTCTGGTGAAGACAGGGTTTGCTCTGCAGACACAGCTTCTGTTGTCTGGAAGTCATTGTTCGCTGGTGGAAAGTAGTTTTTTACACATGGACTGTAAAGATCATGCAACTTTATGAGCTAATGTTTTACTGCGAAAATGCAATGTTATGAACTAAGCTTTTGCAGCATTATGAATTTAAATCAATAGCGTTGGATCATTGACATAGTATTAAGTCATCCGAATGCATTTTATGTTAAAGCATATTGTCTTTTGTACTGTTAAAACTGTATTTACCAACTGCGTGGTATAATAACTTTATTGATAAAGAGACGAAGGTTTGTTTTAATCAACAAACATGGATAAGAAGTCATTTGATATAGTATTGGATGAAATAAAAAAGGTACGGTGTGTCTTATCTCAAATATACTATGCAATTTAACATTTAATTGTTTGTTAATGTATGACTCTGTGTTTCAGTGCGTCCTGACTGATCAGCGGATCAAAGCCATAGAGCAGGTGCATGGATATTTCTCCAGTGAGCAGGTAACTGTCCAAACGTCACGTGGTGTTTATCCCTAATTTTATATGCAAGGAGAAACATGCAGAACCTCTTACTGACTATAAAGTGTATTTTTACCACACTAGGTAGATAGGGTCCCCACACATTCGTAAAAAAATCACTTGTTTCGTCTGTCACAAAGCTTATAAACAGACATTAAATAAAAGGATAGTCTTCATATCTGTATTAGTACTTACATTTAACCAATGCTACTTATAGGTCGACTTTAAAATGTATGTATTAGGTAAATGGAACAATTGTTGTTGTTATGGTGTGTTATGTTATATCAATACATACAGCATTACAATGTATTTGCAATAGTTGGTTTCATGCGAACAACTTGATATAGGAACACTCATAGCCTATAGTGTTGATATATCTTTTTGACAAATAAAGTTGGCAGTGCAGTACTACTTACTTCCTACTAAAGCTCTATTGGTATTGTACATTGTAACACTGTCTTGAACATCTTCAGGTGATGGAGATACTGAAGTATTTCTCATGGGCAGAGCCACAGATCAAAGCAGTTAAAGCTCTTCAGCATGTGAGTAACTTCAAAATGTGTGTTCCACATTGACACATTTGTTTTCTAGAAACTGAGGTAATTTATTTCTGTTAGAACAACTACAACATCAATATAAATGATGCTGTTGAAAGTTTAATATTCTCTTTAAAATCCCCACCTCTGTGATTTGTATTTTTCTTAAGTGTTAACGTTAAATATGTTCTGTTGCCTTTAGAAAATGGTTGCAATCCCTACAACCAAAGTTGCAAATATCCTGAACTGCTTCACCTTCTCAAAGGACAGACTGGTTGTCCTGGAACTAATAGCTTTGTGAGTACATTTTGAAAATGCATTTGAGCACCCTCAATGGATTTTAAAACACTTAAAGTGAAATGTTTTACTGTAATATCAACCGCTTTGGTTTGACTAATTGGTTACTTGTTAAATATTTGATTTTTGTTCCCATTCTTGAACCACACAGGAACATTTCAGATGCTCAGAATTATCGTCCTGTGGAGGATCTCTTTCGCATACACTTGTCTGAGAAGAAGCGGGCTCGCAGGATACTGGAGCAAGTAAGTTCACTTTTGCAAGTTGTGTGTAGAAACCCTGTTTTTTTTTAATCGTGTGTCTTAGTATACAAATACCTTGTGGAATCCCTTTGGTACCCGTAAGCCCTGAGGAACAACTGTTACCTAGTGAAATGTACAGGGCAAAGCAATTGATGCAATTAAAAAATAATAAAGCAATCTAAAATCAAGCTTTTACAATAGCGGTACAGAATGTGTTAATGCCTAATCTCTAATATTGATCTTATGTTTATTGCATGCTGTACACACAAGCAAACACACACGTTTTTTCTAATATAAAACTACCTCTGTGTCCCCAGGTATGCAAGGTTGGCTGCAAGGCTCCTGTTGCCATGATCTCCTCCTGTGGTATGATACCTGGAAATCCATACCCTAAAGGCAAACCCAGCCTGGTCACTGGCACATTCCCTGTGAGTATATGCATGGCTCTCTGTTGCTGAACCACCACCATCTAATGAATTAAAGATGCCGTTTATGCTTTATTTAGGGGCTTTAGAATACATCTTTATTAGATTTGTAATGTTCATTTTACTTTGAATACTGTAAACTAATGTTGTAATTATCAACATTGTGTATATAACATATGAAAGCTGAATAAGTAATGTTATTGTTGATATCAGGTTGAAACTCTGTGGCGTAGAAAATGACACTCTGAGTTTATTTATTTGACTGGAAGACAGCAAAAAAGTGGCAAATAATGATTACTAATGATACAATAAATAATGCTCAAAAGTTGCGTGTGTTTTTAAAAAATGTATTGTGTTTATGGTGACAGGGAATCCCCCCAGTGAAGAAAGAAGGCGAGAAGAAAGAGGACACTTCGAACAATATGGAGGGGAAAGGAATTTCTGCTCGTATTATTGGACCGTTCAAACCTGTAAGCACAAGAATGGTTACTCCTGGGATGATGTAATTAGGCATGGAGTCCCCAGAGAAACCTTATGACGAGGCCTCACATGACCAATTATATTGCTTTCATTTGATAAAAAACAACCTCAATGTCAAGTCATGGTTAGATAAGCTATTGATATATGACAGCAAGAGTGCTAAATGGACTGAATTAAAGACTGTACAATAGAGGGCCTACGCACAATAATGCTTATGCATACAGAATGATATGAGTAAATATGAGTAAGGTCAAATATCCGGTTACTCATTATATAAAAATGGAAAGCATGGAAATGTTTGAACTTCTGTTTCTCTTAATACAAATCAGCTTGGACTGTTGGAGAATTATATAAAAAACAACCACATTATGTTGCATAATAATGCCTGATTTGTTGAGCTTTAAAGTGACCATCAAGAGCACTGGTTTGAAATGTGTTATATTTACTCTCTGGTTTCTACTCCGTTTTATCATCAATGTATTCAATCTGTTATTGTCTTTTTTTTTGTGTGACTTTTATCGCCTTTGAAAAAACTTGCATTTCGGAATCACAGAACGAGACAGAAGTTGTTATTTTCTTAAATCTTTTGTGACTTTTTCTTATATTTTCTCTAGTTTCCATCGACCTACAACCCTCATCGGCCTGTGCCATACCCTATACCCCCGTGCCGCCCACATGCCACCATCGCACCAAGTAAGAAAAGACCCACTTACACACCCTAATGCCTACCTTCTCCCGCCCCACCCTGTAATCGATCACTGTTTGCAAGTTGTCTGATAACACGGATATGTTGGATATAAGAGGAACTCATTATGCTGCTTTGAGTGGTTTGAGTTACAATAAGACTTTTTGTTTTGGTTCAGGTAGTAAGGTGTGTTGTGTGTGATTACTACAGCTGTGTGTGGTGGATGCTGTTAATATTTGCAACTGCTACTCAGGTGCGTACAACAACGCAGGCCTTCTTTCTATGGGAGGGGTTATAACATCCAGCGTGGCCCCTCCCTCCTACAACTCCTCCCACAAAGTAGCAGGTATGATTCGATAGAAGCTTGTGTGTGTGTGGCAGAAAAATAAGCGCTCCTTGAAGCTTGCTGCCTAACTAGCTGGCATGCTGCTTATCTGCATTTCTCAAGTTGAAAAGCGATGATTTGATAGAGAATGTGCTTCTTACTTCTGGAGTACACTGAGTGACCAGAAAAGTAAACCCCCTTCGCACCATACATCGTTTATATCATATAATTTTTAGGGGGATTTTGGCATATTACAACTCAATGGAACTACATTACTGTATATTTTATATAATCATGTGTTTGTTCTCCTCTAACATGTAAGTGAATCAACAAAATGGTCAATATAAAACAGTCAAACACAACATCACAGGATGATATCTTCACACAAATATCTATAACTGTGGTCAAAAACTGTTCTTACTTTTTTGTCAGTACAACTGTTTTCTGGTCAGTCGGTGTAGAGTATGCTTTAGTGAACTGGGATGAGTCTGTGGGCGCCTGGACTGGGAATAGCTTCAAACTAATGTCCTTGATCTTTTTTTCTTGAATCATCGCTATGTGCTGGCATTTAACATGCATCGCTTGGGTTGACATTTGTTTTTGAACGCACTCTCTCATCAGTTTTCACAGTTGAAATGCATCTTTCAGGGCCTTTGGGGAGATACGTGGTTTGAAGTTTACAAATGTCAGTAGCAGTGTTGGCATAAGCACTGTGGTGAATGTTATGAGTTTAGCAAGACAAATACATTATAAAAACATTTCCCCAAAGGTTATTATAAGACATATTCCAATCTTGAAATGTGTTAGAATTACATGCAGGCTTGCTCTCTTTGGCTATTCCTCCTGCTGTGTGTCTCCTCTTTTTTAAGATGTGAGTGGATTGCTTCTTCTACAAAAGTTTGTTGGTTTTGAACATATTCCCTCTTTCTTTTGGAATGAAAAAATAACCCTACACCAGAAATTAAAACCAACAATTATTAAATTAAACCGTGTTGTCATTTTTTATTTCAGTTTTGATTATGTCAGATACAAGAAGGCATTATTTTAAAAGACTTCCTCACTAACTCTGATCTTTTTCTCCCTCCAGGTTACGCCAAGCCAGGCAATCCTCTGCACACCACACCTGGAGTCAAAAGCGGGCCCCTCCTCATTCCTCATGGGTCCACGCCTTCAACCCCTAACCCACATCAGGCTTCTCCTGCTCAGCCTCCTCCCACGACCCCTATCACACCAGTGTTCCCCGGCATGGTGCCCTCTCACAACCCAAATGTCCCCTCTCTCTCGCCTGCTCCATCCCCATCTGTGATCAAAGCCGGTCCTCAGACCCCCAGTGGCCATTCTACACCTACACCTTCATCTGTCATTAAAGCCCACACCCCTTCAGGCACTCCTTGTGGAACCCCTGTCCCCGGCAGGAGCTACTCCCCTTCCCCCTTCCACGCCATTTCCCGACCGGGCACCCCAGCCTCCCGCGGCGCCCCCGACCCATTATCCCAGACGAACTCCATGGGCTCGACTCAGCAGAGAGCGTTTTCTCAGTCCGCAGATCACCAGTCGGGACTCGGTCACCCTGGCATGCACCTACAAGCAGGTAATCCCTCTGGGTCAGTGATCCGAAGTTACACCCCCTCTGGAGCCGCCACTCCAGTTCATCCGAGCAATTCCACCCAAGGCCTCAGTCCCAAACCCTCCCCGGCTCACTCTGCACAGATTCAGGCTGCTATGATGCAGGCGGGGGTCCTGAACAGACACACTGGGGGAAGCAACAGTGGCAGCAACAGCCCTGTGCACTCTGCCTTCAAGGGCACCTCCCGCTCCGGCACCCCGTCTGTGAGCTCTCTTGTGGTTCCAGGTTCTGCGCAGGCGGCCCTGGCCCGTTCCTTTGGTCTTTCCCACCCCTCAGGTTCTCCTCAAGTATCACTCGCTAATGCAGTAGCTCTCTCCGGCCTCCAAGCCCTGTCCTCCAGCCAAGCACCCTCTCATTATCCTGGCCTGTCCCACTTCCCCTCACTCCCTCCTTCCTCCATGCCTTCATCCATGCCTCCCAGCTCCAACATGTCTAACCATCAACAAGCCTCCATGTACCAAAGCCTGGCTCACAACGTTGCCCCTGGTGGAGGGTCCCCTTTCGGTCTGGGCCTCACCTCTGCCACCTCTATGTTCCCAGGCCTTCCGCCCGGTCATAGCCCCGCTGGCTACCCAGGGTTGGGGGTTTCAGGAGTGCACGGTGCTGGGAGCCCTGTGTTGTCTTCATTCATGGGACTGCAGGGGGCCTCGGCCTCTTCAGTAGCGTCAGCAGCAGCCGCAGCTGGAATTCCATCATCATCGCCGGTTTTACCAGGCTTTGCGTCTGCTTTCAGCTCCAACTTCCAGCCTGGGTCAGTGAACCTTTAAACACTTTTACTGCACAGAAGCCATGTTATGTGGATAGCTAAAATAACCTCTTGATTTTACCTTAAAGGTCTCCTATTATACTATTTTTAGGCATGTATTATAGGTCTCAGATATATAAAAATATAGAAGAAAACATGTCTCTGAGGTGTTTTGCTCAAAATACCAAACAGATCACCCCTCTATTTCAGCCCTGTTAGAGAACTGCTGATTCTGAGTCCGTAGCTTAAAAAAAAAAAAAAAATAGCAGGAGAATTCTACCAACACACTCAGCTAAATGCTGCCGTGATTAAACGCCATATCATGTTCAAAACCACATCAAGGATTTTTTCTCTTGCGGGTTTACCACAAGGTGGGTTCCTTTTTATTTCCTGCTTTTTTACACATACTCTCTCCAGTACAGGTTAGCTCTGAGTGTTAGCGATGCTTGCTAATGTAAACAAAGAACTAATAACGTCCAAAACACGTCACACATTGTTTCTGATAGCAACGTTTCTGATAGGGCCGTGGCGTAAAGCCAGCCCACATTTCCGATATTACGTCATATCGGCCGCAAATCTGGATCAGCTCTGTTGTACCCCAATTTCTTGCGATTTTTGTACGGAGGAAAAGAGAGAGGGTTTTGTTCCCTGACACATGTTTATGTATAAAAGACATAACAAAGTGCATTTTGCATGACAGGAGACCTTTAATATTCTAATTTATGAATTAAGCCTACATGAAAATGCCACAGTTTCAACTGACTAATAATGTTATTCTGTGTTAGAAAACTGTGCTAGCTGGTCCATTAGTCCCATGGAGTTTCTTAATTTCCAGTAACCAAGTAGTTTGTAGTCAGAATTCTTTTTTTAGATAATTTCCACTTAGTTTGGTAAGCGGTTGCAAAAAGGGCATCATAAATGTAGATAGATTTTCCACTCAACGTTTTCTAAGTGGAAACAGTGCAAAGTCCACTTAGCTTAGACTTTGGTTTGTGTCTCAGAGAAATTGTTCCATCCAGGCCATATATTTAGTATGTTAGCTTGCCAAGGTACAAGTGTTGCACAAACTTGAGCCTCACCTTATGTTGACATTTCATGCACATAAGAGGTAGGCGGTGGCTTTTTTTCAAGATCATTAAATTAGAAAGCAAGTAGAGTAAAGCAAGAGAAATATAAACACATTAACACACATTTAAATGTGTATGTAACTCTTTCCCACCTGTTCACTATAGTATGTTGTTGAGTAGTGTGTAAGAAAAAGTATCCACTCATACGTATAACACAGCCAGTTTACATTTTGTGGGTATTATACAAACCTGAATAAAATGGTTAACTGGTAAGCTTTAGAGGGGCTGCGAGAGAGAATTTGTTGCAGTTGGACGTAGCCTGGCTGTTTCAAGTGTTTGTGCTCAGCTCATTTAAAGGCTAAGCTTTCGCCTTATTGTTAAAGATTCAAGATTCAAAGGTTTTATTGTCATGTGCACATAATCTACAGATTAGAAATGGCAATGAAATTCTTCTGACCCGAGTTCCTCCAACAATGCAACATATATAATATAATACAAAAATACGAATAAAGAATGTCTATATACATGTAAATAGAATATGATATGTACAAGAACAGAATATGAAATTAAATAATGTTCATTAAGACAAAATTAAATACGGTTGAATTCTGTGATAACTATATATAATCGAGAGTGATATAGATTTAGTCCTAGAAAAAGTGCCTTTCCAGATCAACAAGAGATCAATTTTCGCATCCCATACTCACCTTTAATGTTCCCGATTTACTAGGATGTTTAGTATAGATATGTAAGAACTGTAAGTATTATGTTGTTGTAAAACCCAGTCAATACAGATCAATGTGGCTTAGTGTAATTAAGATAACAATGTAGAGCCTGGCAGTAATGATCCTGCGTGTCACAGGTTGAGCAGCGGGCTCCAGCCTCCAGGCAGCAGCGGGTTCCCCGGCCTGCTGTCCTTCCCCGGGATGCCGGGCTTCTCCCCCTCTGCCTCTCCTGCTGGCCTCAGTGGCCTCCACAACCAAGCCATGCAGTCTGCCCTGCTACAGGTACACACACACACACACACACACACACACACACACACACACACACACACACACACACACACACACACACACACACACACACACACACACACACACACACACACACACACACACACACACACACACACTCCATTAATGCACACTAAGTTGACAATATCTGTTTTTTTACTGCACATATTTTATTCCATTCTATTTCAATGTAAATACTGCTTTATTTGATTTTTTATTTTACTATATTTTTTTATTTTTTAATGTTATTATAGTGTTCTTTAAATAGTTCTCTATCTGTGTTTTTACATTTTTGTTTTAATTGTATGTATGCACCACAACACCAAGTCAAATTCCTCGTACGTGTCAACCTACCTGGTAATAAACCCGTTTCTGATTCTGATTCTTTGTCTTGTTTCAGGGTCATCCCGCAACTTTGGAGAACTTCCCTCCCAATAGTTTCGCCAATTACCCTCCAGGCCCAGGGAACCCCTTCCCCCTCCAGCCAGGCCTGCACCCCCAGCTGGGTTGGCAGTGAAATCCACAACACACTTTGAAAAACATGGAGAACAGTTACTCACGGTGGACCACTATCATAAAACCTGCCCTACCCCTCAGCAGTTGACATTTTCTATGTTTTGGCCTTGAACCCTGATAGGCGCAGGCCAGATAGTAGGGTTTCATTATCATGTATGTTACAGCCAGACTTACAACTACATGTAACACTATCATGAAATCATGTGAAATAGTGTTTGGGGGAGATTATGTATTTCACATTTGATTCATAAACAGTTGGTTTTAAAATATACCATGACCTCTTTAAATGTTAGCTGGACTTGGCTGTTTTGAATCAAGTTTATCAACATTTATTAGTGAATAATGAATAATAGAAATGAAATGTAAAACTGTACATGCTATCATGAATTGACACTATCCTCATATTTGATCCAATGTCCAGTCTCAGTGGAAAAGACAATACGAAGGATAATGACAGTCTCTCCTGAAATGAACATTGTATTATGACATTTAAATTGACTTTTGAAATGGGCCCAACATAAATATCTTTTAATTCTGGTGCTGTGTACTGCTCCTCTGTGTGTTATTTTCAGTGAACTGTCACTACACTTTGGCCTGTCCGCAGTTAATTGTGATTCACATTTGTTTACAAGTTCATTTAAAAAGATTTCACCCCTATGTTTACAGTACTGACCAGATTTACTGTATGAAGATTTTCCTGAGAATCAGCAAATGTTGATTTATAAGTGGATTTGAGGTATAAAATGTTGGTATACTTAAGTAATGCTGTGCAGCATCGTGGAAACGGTTTACCTCATTTACTGTACATCTAAGAACATGGGGAGACATTTGAGATGAACAGACTTTTTATTTTCCTTTGTTTGTTTTTTTGTCCTTTTTTTCTGTATTTGCACCTGTTTTATTATTTTGTCAGTAAACTGCTGGTTGCTGTAGCTGTTACTGTATCTCTATTCTGTGTGATGCCATGTCTAATAGGAAAGCCCTTTGTTTAATTAATGAAGGTGGATAGAACAATGTGTAGATAAATAATTATGCTATGAAGGAGTGGCTGTTATTTGCTTATTAACTGGTGTAACAATCAACTATGTGACTTTTTAATAAAAGGGTGCCAAGATCAAGGCCAAAAAGTCTCATAGGCTCATGCACATGTGTTATCAGCAAAGTAAAGGTCTGAAATATACATTCATTGACAAAGAAAGACTCAATCAACTGTATACTTGTTAAATATAACCAAATGCAGCTTCAAAAACAGGCGGATAAGGTTACCTTCTTTGATTTATTTTCAGTTGTTTAATGAGTATTATAAACGTTACGGTTTTACAGCCTACGTAAAGTCAACTTAGGACTCTACGCAGGGCTTCATGAGCATCCGTAGTTTTACACAATACACATGTGATGCCATCAGTCATTAGTCACGAGACCTAACACCAAGTCATGGGATCTCCTTTGAGCAAATTCCATTTTCCATTACTCAAATATGTTCCATTCAAATCAAACTTTGGCTACTGTCGTCTTCCTTACCAAACCTGTTAAATGACAGCCTTTTATTCATTATGGATAATGGAAACATATTTATTTTCTCAAAGATCCTATAATAAATTCAACTTTAATTTAAAACAAATCTGATTTTGTATAAAGAAAATCATAATCATGCATGCTTACATTTATACATTCTATAATTTCACTTAGAAATGCTACAATTATTTGACTATCAGGTCCTTCACATTGCAATTTATTCAAAAAAATGCATTAATGTAACAAACACGTTCCCATGGACTACAACAAGTGTATTACATATTTTGTTCTTTACAATCAGCAAATGATGGCCTCCCTTAAGCCAGCTTATTTAAAAGTCATAATGAATTTTCAATAAATAAATAATTAACATCTTAAAATCTCAACCCACACAAAGAAATAGTTTTAAGATAACACTATGCAGTGTGAATAGCACTGAACAAAAGACATACAGAAAGAAATCTATCAAATACAATTTAGAGTAAACTGAGATCAAAATATATCCACAAATTAATAGTGTTTAAGCAGTTCCTCATTCTAGTAGGAAGTAAAATTAGGAAAGTATAGCATTTCAACATTTATTTTGCAATGTGTGATTTGGTTGCGAGTGGTAGGTTAGCTAAGCAAAGTAACAATGGGGAAACCTCTTAGCATAAATAAAACCTGCCCTACCCCTCAGCAGTTGACATTTTCTATGTTTTGGCCTTGAACCCTGATGGGCGCAGGACAGATAGTAGGGTTTAATTATCATGTATGTTACAGCCAGACTTACTATTACATGTAACACTATCATGAAATCATGTGAAATAGTGTTTGGGGCAGATTACATATTTCACATTTTATTCATAAACAGTTGTAAATATCAGGTTTCGAAGTTGTTGTGACCTCTTTAAATGTTAGCTGGACTTGGCTGTTTTTAATCAAGTTTATCAACATTTATTAGTGAATCATGAATAATAGAAATGAAATGTAAAATGCTATCATGAATTGACACTATCCTCATGTAGTATTTGATCCAATGTCCAGTCTCAGTGGAAAAGACAATACGAAGGATAATGACAGTCTCTCCTGAAATGAACATTGTATTATGACATTTAAATTGACTTTTGAAATGGGCCCAACATAAATATCTTTTAATTCTGGTGCTGTGTACTGCTCCTCTGTGTGAACTGTCACTACACTTTGGCCTGTCCGCAGTTAAACTGTGATTCACATTTGTTTACAAGTTCATTTAAAAAGATTTCACCCCTATGTTTACAGTACTGACCAGATTTACTGTATGAAGATTTTCCTGAGAATCAGCAAATGTTGATTTATAAGTGGGTTTGAGGTATAAAATGTTGGTATACTTAAGTAATGCTGTGCAGCATCGTGGAAACGGTTTACCTCATTCTAGTAGGAAGTAAAATTAGGAAAGTATAGCATTTCAACATTTATTTTGCAATGTGTGATTTGGTTGCGAGTGGTAGGTTAGCTAAGCAAAGTAACAATGGGGAAACCTCTTAGCATATAAGTAACTATAATTATTATCCATATTATTAGTATTTAACCTAACCTCCTCTTATATACAACTAAAAAGGATGTCTTTCTGTCATGAAAACCTCGCTAAATATAATGAACAAACACTGAGATTATCCGGTTGTGTATTAACTACATGATAATTAACTTTGTTGATGGTCAAGCTGATGTCAGAGCCACACCTCTGAGCTGGATTGTAAAGCAGCATTACAGCTTTAAAAGGCTGGGTGACTCCCACTTGATCCGACACACTTCAACAAACCCTCTCTACACACTTCCCCTCTCACTCTGAACCAACACATGGAAATGGAGGGCCAGGTGGAAAGCCAGAAGAGACGCGGAGTGAGCAAAGAAGATTTAATATGTAAGATAAACCAGATTTTCTTTTACTGTCTTTTTTTCTGAGCTTAAATGTTTCATACTTGTGTTTAATTATTAATTTTTAAGTGAACTATTGCCAAAACCAGACTTGTGTAAGGCTTAAATCAACAAAGGGGTTGTTTGCCTTTCCCTGAAGCATGAGTTGAATGTACATTGTCATTATATTGTTAGCTATGTAAGCAGCAGTGTATTGTATGTGCGATGCATACATTGGAGCTCACCTGTGCGAGGCAGGGGCAAAGTAGAACTCCATCGTCATAGAGACATAAATCACATGTCATCAAGATAAGACTCCCTCCCAAAAGCATGTGACTGAGTGTGTGTGTGTGTTTCCCTTCAATTGTGTGTGTGTGTGTGTGTGTGTGTGTGTGTGTGTGTGTGTGTGTGTGTGTGTGTGTGTGTGTGTGTGTGTGTGTGTGTGTGTGTGTGTGTGTGTGTGTGTGTGTGTGTGTGTGTGTGTGTGTGTGTGTGTGTGTGGCCATGCTATGTGAAGTCAGGCAATTAAGAGCTGTCATGTCACGCAGTTGGCTTCTGTGTAAACGCCCATTAGTTGTGTGGCTGATAATGGCTCCTTTCACATCATATCATCTTGCAGCATAATCATTTTCCAAGTCTCTATTATCAACAACCAGTTGGACGGGATCGGGTTACATAGAGTGCTGTGTACACTTCAACCTCTTTCACTGAGGTGACGGATAAATCATTTGTGTATAATTCCAATTAAAATGTCTTCCATCAAAACACATAGCGAGGATTGCCACAGTGTTAGCTATCATTACATTGCAGAAATCATCATACGTTGCTTTTCACCAAATACCACATTACGATCGATCATGTGGATCAGTCTAAATGCATTTGCAATGCTCTCTAACGTGCACTAATGCTTGCAACATTTCCTTTAGTTCTACCACAGAAAACTGCATTTCCTGTGGTTTGACCTAGAAAGACAGTTAAACGGTACATACAACAATGTCAGGAAATGAATACTTCTGTAATAGTGAAATAGTGAAATGTTTACCAGTGAAAACATGATCATGGGGTAGTGCACCCCATGATCATGTTTCACTGGTAAACATTTCACTGATTGCACTCTTTGTGTGAGAGTTCCTCTGTTTGTAAACCGCGTCCATCAGTGTAAGATCTAAGCTTGAAAACTGATCCATTAGTGGTACTTAAAACGATCTGCCTATGAGAGTTTTGAGTGCAATACTGTTATTATAGTTTGCATAGTATTGTGTTCATTAGCTAAGGGGTAAAAGCTTTCCTCATCTCCTGTTTGTTAGTTAAAAAGGGGCCAAAACACATCACTTCCACTTCAATGTGATTTCAAACTTCAAAACCGTATGGATTTTTAAGGCAGATGTTGATATATCCACTTTCCATATTCCTTCATCCTTCTCTTTCTTGACACAAGCCTGTTCACATCTCTAAATTTGCATTTATTTGATTTCCATTTCATATTTGTTTTGGGGTTTTCACAGTATTGTCAACACACACTGTCACTTTGTCTCTATAGCTGAACGGACAGGATCTTTGGGATGCATTGGTTGGGTCCTGGTCATTCTCTCTGGCTTTTTCACAATACTCCTCAGTCCCTTCACCATCTGGTTTTGTCTGAAGGTGAGTAAGCTACAGTAAATTAGCACAGTGGGTTGAAGAGCAAAAAAAACGTTGTTGCCTTTCAAATGTGAACTGCTTACACTGTGCTGTTCCTGTTGGTGTTTTGCAGATTGTCAAGGAGTATGAGCGCGCTGTCATCTTCAGACTGGGCCGTATCCCAGACAAGAAGGCTAAGGGACCAGGTAGGAAAACATACAATTTAAATGTGAATTATTTCTTTTTGGCTAAAAAAAAGAATCTGTTAGTTGTATCAAATGTATTATTAGCCAATGTAACCGAGAGCCATGTTTGTTTCAATGATTTGAAGTTACTGTGTGAACCTGTAGGAACCTTTGAGAACCTCTTTTTTTTAATGCAAAAAATGTCATATTGATGCAAAATAGTAAATTGATGTTTTTTTCTACAGGGATTTTCTTTATTTTGCCGTGCACTGATGACATTGTGAAAGTGGATTTGCGAACAGTTTCATTTGACATCCCACCACAAGAGGTAGGGTTTGGCACACTGAAAAACAAATTCAATATTTCAAATCTTCAGGCTTAAAAACATGTCATGTTTCCCCGCTCTAGATCCTGACCAAGGACTCAGTTACAGTATCGGTGGACGGAGTAGTGTACTTCCGGGTCAGTGACCCCATCGCCTCTGTGGCCAACGTTGCTAATGCTGACTTCGCCACCCGTCTGCTGGCTCAAACCACCCTCAGAAATGTCCTGGGGACCAAGAATCTGGCTGAGCTCCTGTCCGACCGTGAGGGCATCGCTCACAGCATGCAGGTACAGGAAACTCTCCAGAAATCATAATGTGGACTGAACAAAAGACAAGTGTTTTCATTTGTTTTTGCTCTATCTCTCTCAGAGAGGGCTAAATACACATCCTTTACTCAAGTAGAAGTACAGACTCGTGATTAAAAATACTCTGGTAAAAGTAGAAGTACTGACTAAACTTCTTCACTCAAGTAAAAGTAAAGAAGTATGGGCTTTGAAATTTACTTCAGTAAAAAGTACCCATAACTAGCAGCTGTTTTAAAGAGTACCTGACCTCCCTTTATATTAATAGAACAATAATGTCATTGTTAGCTAATGAATGTGTCCATGCTGAACAACGGCAACATGACAACGTTTTCATTGGTCCCTCTTCTTTAGAGAAGACCAGGAAATGATGGATACACGGATCGTGTTCAAATCAATAGGCACGCAATGACTCTAAATAATAATGATCACGCCACCAAACACACATTCAAACTAAAGTAACTAGCAGGTATTTGTGTTAAAAAATGTAAGAAGTAAAAGTAAAAAGTCGTCAGAAAAACAAGTGGTGGAGTAAAGTACTGATACCAGAAAAATGTACTTAAGTAGAGTAATGAAGTATTTGTACTCCACTACTTCCCACCTCTGATCTCTCTAAGGAGGGCACAATTGTGAGAGACATTTGTTCAGCAAATTTTCCTTGATTATTCATCTCTAACGGGAAGGGCTTTGTTTAACTTTTTGGGTAGTATGGAAAAATCACTGAATCAATTCTCTGTCTGTGTTTTTCAGGCCAATTTGGATGAAGCCACAGACGACTGGGGCATCAAGGTGGAGCGCGTGGAGATTAAAGACGTGAAGCTGCCCCATCAGCTGCAGAGAGCCATGGCAGCAGAAGCAGAGGCTACACGAGAGGCCAGAGCTAAGGTCGGGTCACATCGCACGACACATAGCCTACAGTTTTATATAATTCCCTGTAAAACCCAATGTGCATTATTTTTAATTATTATATTTTAGGTTTTCGCTTTAAAGGTCACCTATTATGCAAAATCCACTTTTTCATGTCTTTTATACATAAACATGTGTCCCCTCTGCATTAAGACATTACATGTATACTTGTTAGACGCTTTTATCCAAAGCGACTTACATACTCAATACTGTGGGCAATCCCCACAGGAGCAATTTGGGGTGAAGTGTCTTGTCCCGGGACACAACGACATGCTGACTGCAGTGGGGTTTGAACCCTGATCCTGACACTAGTCCACTGCGCCACACGCCTCCCTAAGACATTCTGAAAGTTTTAGAAAAAAACTCGTTCTCTTGATCTCCTGATCCATTTATATAAAAACCTGTCTGAAAATGAGCTGATCAGTTTTTGGCCACTTTATGATGCCATAACGATGTTTTGGCTTGTGTAACCATTAGTCAATCAGCAACCAAGGTAACCCCCCCCCCCACCTTATCACCTGAATCTCCTCCTAGAGCACCATTGAGTTCTTTTTAACCAAATATCTCTCAGAGGGCCGTGGGGAGTGGCTCCTTATTTTCATCTAAAGTAACAGACAGAGTATCAGCACTTTTGAAACAGGGCTGAAACAGAGGGGATTATGGGATGCTGCAATGATCTGTTTGGTATTTCGAGCCAAACACTTCAGAGACATGTTTTGTATATATCTGAGACCTATAATATATTGATGAAAAACAGTATAATAAGTGACCTTTAAAGATAGTTCATTTAAATGCCATACTAATCTCTCTTTCTTGATCAACGTCCAGGTGATCGCAGCAGAGGGTGAGATGAATGCGTCCCGGGCCCTGAAGGAGGCGTCCCTGGTGATCTCAGAGTCTCCGTCAGGCCTGCAGCTCCGCTACCTGCAGACTCTCAGCACCATCGCAGCAGAGAAGAACTCCACCATCATCTTCCCCCTGCCCATGGATATGTTGACTCCCTTCCTGCGAAAGTGACACCTCAGTTTGCCCAACCTCTTAAACATGTGTGACTCTTTGTAAAATAAACAGTCAGGATACAAATTACTATTTATGCATGGTTGACATTTTATTCAGACTCATCATAAAAAACCTTTGTGGTTTAAATAGTCAAGCTGTGATCAGGCATGGCCTACTAACATTTTTATAAACTTCAGAGTTGTCTGAAAAAATTGACGTGTTATTGACTAAATGTATTCTGAAAATGATGTGTGTTGTTAAAACTATAATAAATGTGTCTGATTCATATTATATGATGTTGTGTTGGTCAATTGCATATTTTGATACTGACTACATGCAATATACTTCAAACTAACAGTTGAGGCTTTATTCACAATCAAAATGCTTACATCTTAAATCCCGGATATGTCTGCGATATGTTGTACTTTTTCCTTTCCAACAGCATATTTTTGGTAACTTTAGAATGTGTGAGAAATATAAGAGAAGCATTTTATCTGTGTCTTTGTTGAAAGAAAGTCGAAATAGCCACATATCCAATGTCTATAAGGGTAACACTAGCAAACTCTAAACCTATTAGTTTTGTCCAAGTACATGCTTGTGTTTTAGACCTGTCTTGAATATTTACAGTATGCTGTTTACTAGGACAATCCCTTGTATCCAGAATACATATAACACCTAATGAAATACAATTTAGAGCAGGACTGATCTGTACGGTAAAAAAAACATGAACATCATTTTGGTTTTCTTGAATATCTTTTAATACTGTGTTCTCCCCAAAAAGTAGAAATCAAAGCATCAACATACTTCGTATACATTACATGTAGAACTATCTCATTCCCCGTCCTCCCGGCCTCCTACGCTACGGTTACATTTTGACACCACAGATGCAGAGAGGTAAAAAGAAGTGAAAGGGAGAACAAGAAACAGCAAAGACAGAAAAAACATGCTTCTATTACTTCGTTGGTGCACTAAGACACTACTTATGTCGTAAATGTATTTACATTCAAACATACAATCAGTGCCAAAACAAACTAATTCAGCAAACGTTGTCTCTGGACCAAATCTACAAAGGTTAATTATATAGCTTACCTCCATAAATTCAAATTGTAGTGCTGAAAGTTGACAAGCCATGGGAATATTTGCTACGACAGCAGTTAAACATAAACACGGTCGTTTTAATCCCTAATGGATAAGGTAAATTACCCATGTTTCTTGTGGGGAGGCTCTACTAATGCTACATATTAAATGGCTGCTACATAGTGGTCAGACGAGAGTCCTTCTATATCAAATAAAATCACATGACTGACTCGTATAAAATGCAGTCATTACATTTTTGACATTCAGCGCATAGTGAGACAGAGATGTCCACAGGACACATTGAAGGGTCATTACAATACCAGTTCTTTGTTTAGTTATCATCATTCAAAGGTGAAATATTAAATTAATAAGAAATCTGTGACTTTACCCTGTCATTTGTAAACAATAGTTTCTGTTGTATTCTTGCAGCTTTGTTGAGCTTGACGTTACCTTTCAGAGGACCCTTAAGAATCCTTCAATGACGTAGGAGAACAGCATTTCTAAAAACATTTGAAAACACAGTGACTCTCTGACAGGTATATTTTTACAATTAATCGTTATGTAAAGACATTCTCAAAAATCATCAGTGTAGGTATAAAATAAGTGACAATCGAGATACATTTTCTCAAATCTTATGCTGTAATTGACATTCTTTCGTTTTAAGAGCATTCAACCCTGTGTACGTGTCATACAAAAAAATCTTGAAGATCCATGAAAAATATGTTTTCACGGCCGTCAAAAGTGCTGGTATAGCAATGAAAGATCCACAACACATAAACGCCATTCTCTACATGCTGGCAAGGTTACATTTACCCAACCTGTAACTTAACCCAAAAAAGTGATAAACCCTAAACCATTCCTCCAATTAGCATTGTTGCCATGACTGCCAACACAGATTTACCCTAATCCCTACAAACTGGCCTTGTTTATTTACAGTGGCTCAATTTCATGTGTGTTCTGAACAGCTTTGTTTGTTCATGTGCGATTAAATCACTGAGATAACACTGTGTAACACTGCAGTTCTCAATGCAAAAGCCAGAAGAGTAATTAGGACCCTGAGGGTAAGTGAGTTAGCAGAGTATGTACAGGAGGCAGCTATGACAAACTGTATGCTATAAAATAATTTGTTTAATATTCCAAAGGCTGGTTTCTCTATAGTATTTCATACAAGAGGAAAATGATATTGAGTTTATAATGTTCTGTAGAGAAGTTATATAAAATAATTTCTAATCTAAATTTTGAAAGTAATTCCCTGAACAATATTTCTTGAAAAATATCAGTGTAGCCTGAACTTTATACTCAAAAGATAAAAAGAGTCATTGAGATAAAGAAACCAGTAGAGGTTATGAAGAGGTTGAGAAAGGGCGACACTAATCTTTGCCACACTAGTCATACAAAGGTAAACAGAGAGTTAACCTGTGTTTTGTTTAACCTACATAGCTTATAGACCTATATTACATAATAAGACAGTGCCACCTATGTATGTGTGATGACAAGTTAGTATATCTCCTTTTTCCTCAGGTACATCACATATTCCACTTGTGTCCCATAGGTGATATTTTCAGTTACAAACACCGTTCGTTTCCTCCACACCTCAAGCTTAATAAATAAACAGAGCAATAATCATTTTCACATTAAAACTGGAAGACCTTCACAGTACATGCTTGCCTAAGCAAAACACATGTAACAAATAAATAAGATATAAACATCACATTTTAAACAACATTTAAAACAGCAATTCCTGTGTTAGTTTTTCCTCCCTTCGTTTTGAGCTCCCTGGTAGCTGTGTGTTTAAGTTGTAATTGTTGGTGCTGTTGAGCCACGGACAAAACAGACTGCACATTCCCGCTGAGGTAAATACAAAACGGCAGACGTAGTTTTTGCAAGTTGACCTGAGGGATCCCAAAAGAGAGTAGCTCATGTGACACGACGCTGTAGGAAGACCATGGCAAAAAGCAGATACAATGGCTGGGGTTCCAGGTTTGGTCGTCCCACACAAGTAAAACTATCAGTGTTGAACTAATATCAAGATGTCAAATACACCTTGAGGCTGAAAATCATTGCTTTACAGACCAATTCTTTATCCTATAGTCCTTTATGAAATCAAATCTTGGTCGTTGAGTATAAGGCGCTTTGTTGGGGGGAACATTTGGGAAACTTATCCCAATGAGAGTATAGCTTATTTTCTATTGAGTATGTCGTTTAACACACCAGATTATTGTGTTCTGGTGGCATGAGTGTGCTACTTTCCATCTGTACTGTTTCTGTGTTTGCGGGACTGTGCAGGGAGGTTTCACTACATGTTGATCTGTGTCACTATCATACAGTATGTACAGTCTGCGTTTCAAGACAAGCAGCCATTGGGAACAGAGAATGTATCAGTTTTCAATATTTATGTTCGTATAATGTTGTGTTTCACTCGATGGACAACACCAGCTGTCGAGAACTTCTTCGGGCTTTGACAATTAATGTCTGCCCAGAATGTCACGAGACGACAAGAGACCACGGTGCTTTGTTTTTCTCCAACATGTACTTAATTAAATGCCACTCACATTCAAAAATCATGGAAATAAAAGAGAAATTATGTAAAATAAATACAGACATGTGAGCTTATCTCTGAAAAGAGCCGACACAAGCGGCTGAGTTACAGCGATTGGGTGACACTCTGTGTGTGGGCGTGGCCGGGCCAGGGGAGTAATTCTGATTGGTCGCTGCCCTGTGAGTGGGTGTCCCTGGTCCAGGGGAGAGATTTTGATTGGCTCTGTGGGAGGGGGAGCAGTATTGAGCCTGCTGCTGACAGCCGTGGCAGTGGGTGGGAGAGTCACACCCTGCGACAGGTGAGGAGGAAAAGAAAGAGGATGAGGGGACCGGGGAGGTGGAGAAGGAGCGGTGCAGAGGGGAGGAGGCGGGGGATATGAGGGGGCTGGTCTGCAGACGCCACAGAAGCTCGTCGTTGTTGCGACTCAGCCGCTTTTTCTCAGTGCTCTCCTTCTCCACCGAATCGTGGAGGTTAGCGTTGTCCTCTGACAGTTGTCTGCAGGGAAAACATCACAGAGGAAGTTAACAAAGCAGCCCATGAGCAAGGAAATTAAAAGGTATTATACAGTTTATCATCAATATATTATAGGTCTCAGATATATACAAAACATGTCTCGGAAGTGTTTGGCTCCAAACAGATCATTCCAGTCTTATGTCTGTCACCCCTTGATTCTACTTGCTTTGACTGTTCAAATGAGATGTCAACCATCAAAATTGGATAAGGGGTTCCACTGTGCAAAACACACCGGTCAATTTTGACCGAAAATAGTATGGGAAGGGGGGTATGACCTAACGCAAGAGAAGGGTTAAAGGTCACTTATTATACTGTTTTTCATCAATACATTATAGGTCTCAGATATATACAAAACATGTCTCTGAAGTGTTTGGCTCCAAACACCAAACAGATCATTGCAGCATCCCATAATCCCCTCTGTTTCAGCCCTGTTTCAAAAGTGCTGATTCTCCATCTGTTACTTTAGATGAAAATAAGGAGCCCCTCCCCACGCCCCTCTGAGAGATATTTGGTTCAAAAGAACACAATGGTGCTCTAGGAGGAGATTCAGGTGATAAGGGGGGGGGGGGTTACCTTGGTTGGTGATTGGCTAATGGTTACACAAGCCAAAAAATCGTTATGACATCATAAAGTGGCCAAAATCTGATCAGCTCATTTTCAGACAGGTTTTTATATAAATGGATCAGGACAAAAAGAAAGAGAATCTTTGTTCCTGAAACTTTCAGAATCTCTGTCCACAGAGGAGACACATGTTGATGTAGAAAAGACATGAAAAAGTGGATTTTGCATAATAGGTGACCTTTAAACAGAGACAGACTAAATGTATGGGATGAAGACTCAGAATGTGTCTCACCGGGAAAGGCTTCGGTTATTGTCAATACGAGCCTTGAGATCTTCATTCTGCTGCTGTAGAACCTGCACCTTCTCCTCAAGGAACACGTTCTTTTGGGCCTGCTCAAAAGTAGAATACAACCACAGTGTAATCTTCATTCACTATACCGTCATGTGCATGAGTGTGTTGAGTTTTCTGAGCCTACCACTTTCTCCAGGTCCGAGATCTTTTTCTCTTGCTGGTGGATCTGCTGGTTCTTCATTTCCACAACCTCCTTCAAGCTCTTTAGATCTTGCTGAATGTGTTGGTATGGAGCCAAAGCATCCTGTAACAGACAAACAAATCACAGGAATAAGATAAAGATTAATGGTGTTTAGAAGTATAGCAGTGCCTTTGAATTTCCCAAAGCCTGTGGTGAACTCACAACTATCTGTTCGTCTGTGCTCCTCCTCAAAGCTTCCTCAAAGCGTTTGGCTTTGTTCTTCAGAGTTTCGTTTTGAAATGTGAGGGTATCCACTTGATCCTGAAAAAGCATCCAAAGACAATAACAAAGACGGCCTAGAATACAGCAACCAAAAAAAGAAAAATCCAGAATAATGTTTAGGGAAACAAACCTGTAGAGCAAGCCGGAGTTTCTCAAAATCCTCTTCTAGAAGCATCTTCTGTTGCTCATGAGCTTTTCTTAAGTCTGCACAGATTCAGAATAATCAAAGAGATTCAACGTTTCAAGCAATGCTCAGTTCTTTACAGAAAATAAACGTCAACAGTTCTTTTGTTTCCTCCTTCCCCCATCTTGTGATTCTCTCTTCATTCTTACTCACACTTTATTTTGCTCTCAATATCATTTCTTTTATTAAATGGGCTCTAAAATCTCACCTCTCATGGTGCGGGCGTGCTCCTCGTGCAGCGTTGCCATGGTGATGTTATGCATGTCTCTGAGCTCTTGAACGGCTGCCTGGTGGTTGACAGTTATTTCCTCCACCTAAAACACACACATACCCTCACTGATCAGATTTCACATCAAGGATAAAAGAAAAGTCTCCCATGATGCCTTTCTTTCCGTCACCTGTTCTTGTTGCTGAGTCCTCAGCTCCTCCATCTCTGAGCGATGCTCCTCCTTCAGGTGTTCGGCCTCGGCTGAGTGACCCTTCCTGAGCCCCTCCTCCACGGCGGCGAGCTCGGCCTCCTGCTGCAGCTGCAGCTCAGTCAGCTCTCGCTCAAACGCCTCCTCCAGCGCCGTCTTCTCCCGATGGAGTCTCTCCCAGCGCGCTGAGTTGGACGCTGTGTAGGAAGCAGAGAATCTCTAATGATGTTTTCTTATGAGAGAGGGCAGAATGAAGCACTTCAAAAAAAGGTATACAACAGACTACAAACTAGGCTGAACAAGGTAATTTCACTTTCATTTAAAATGTGGGATTTAAGTCAACATGAAATTAACCTAATTTATATTGTACTGAGGGTAGACATATTATTTATAAATCATTTAGAATAAACAAAGCAGAATTAAATTGGTAGTCTTTCAAACTCTGTCAAAACAAATCACCTGGTGTTAGTGATATTGGAAACACCTGTGTGGTTCTCATTTATTGTTTAATTTGTTTAGTTAAATGTTGGTTTTCACTCACCCATTTCCTCTCTGATCATTTGCATTTCCAAGGACAATTTTCTTTGATTTTCTTTTGTGGTTTTATTCTGAAAAAAAGGATATACAACGTGTTCACAAAGTGTACCATCTATGCAATTCATTCTGGAGAGTGGATGCTGTTGCTCCCCCCTTTTTGTTCTCTCCCTCTCCTCACTGCACAGGTGTTCCTGGTCTCCAATTATCACCAGTTTCAAAAAAGATAGGCTGGAGGAGAAGGAGCTGTCTCTCTGTTGCCTGACATTGTAGTCATTTAGCCTTAGTTTAGGATTTGGCTTTTTATTGTGTAATGTTTTTTATTTATGCAATTTCCTTTTAGTTTGGGGGGGGGGGGGGGCGTTCTGTGTCCTACAGCCCAGGCTTCCGCCATCCTTTTGTTATTTTTGGCCAGACAGACTTGTGTCATCTGAGTTGAATTAAATAATGTCAGAAAAATCTTATTGTTGTAAACTCTCATCAGGTTTTGCATTTTAAATACATTTGTGCAGGTCACAACCTGAGGCACAAATGTTGTTTTTATGCTGTGGCCATAGTGTATTTACATATCCAGGACGAGCCTCAAAATATGTGGTGGGCTACCAGGTCCTCCATACAAAAAGACATGACTAAATAAACAGCGAAATCCTAAACTAAGGGTAAATGACTGCTGCAGTGCCAGGCAACAGAGAGACAGCTCCTTCCTTTTATACTAGTAATCAGTGGAGACCAGGAACACCTGAGCAGAGCAGATCAGGTGTTCCTGTGCAGTGAGGAGAGAGAACAGAAAGTCAGTGATTAAAATAAATAAACCCATGCATATACTGCCTTCTGTCGTCTAAGGCCACACAGTAGCTGTTGAGTCTGAGGAATACCAGCAGAGGGAGCTCAAACCTACTCAAACAGACCCGCACTTCAACCAATCCTGCCTCATATGAATCTGCATTGTGGGCTGGTGGTTGCATCAACCAGACAATGACCATAAAAAAGGCAGACAGTCGTTGGGCTGTCTGGAAGCAGTATTACAGTTATCACACCTTAGAGGCGTAATCATTCCTTTAGACACATAAAGCTGGATGAAACCAGCTCAGTGACACACTGAACTCTGGAGGACCCTTCCCACAGTCGCTCTCCTTCATAGTGCTGCTCGTGGACCCTGCTGTGAATCTCAACTGACCTCATGTTAAATACTGCATGTGTTCATGTACGTTTGAGTATGTGTTTCCTGCGATCCAGGCTCTGAGTAAGACGAAAGGTTTAGGCGCTATTGTTCATCTACATAGGTTAACAGAGTCACATTCAGACCAGGTAATTAAGAGGTTAGATTTTAAGCGAAATAGAAACATTATTATGGTGATTATGATATCTACTTCCCACTGAGGAGTAATTTACCATTTTAGGCCTATAAATAATTTAATAAAAGATGTGATTTCAAAACATTGCAGGTGCCACGGTTATTATGGTGTAAGACAATATTATTTTGTGTCTGTATTGTATCATTAACGATGGCTACCTTGAGGCAGTAATGCTGAGTGGTGATGATGAACGCTTCCAGACCCAAGGAAGTCTTCTTCAGTTCTTCTCTCAGAGCTCCCAGCTGCCTCTCCTGCTGCGCACAGTGTCCCTGCAGCCTCTGAACCTGAACGAAAAGAATAAAGTAGAATGCAATGGTGCAAACGCCAAGCGGAGTTTCACATTTTCTCAGTTACTGACCTCCTCCCTTTCCTTTTCTTTTTCTCTCTCCTCTGCTTGTCTTTCTCTCTCTTTCTGTTGAGCCTCCTCTTTCTCTCTCTGCAGGCTCTCCTGCTGTTCCTGCTGCGGCCTGAGGGGGGCCACGCGGAGAGGGGACCCCGGGGGAGCTGACCCCCGCACGGCTGCTGCGGGCCGCTGCCCAGACTGGACTGTGGGCAGGGAAAAAACAAACATAGAAAATTAAATTAAGTAAGAAATCTGTCTGCAAGAGCATGTTGGGATTGTTTTTCTATTCAAATCAAATATTACTGTATATCTCCCATATGTCATGAATTAGTCATGTTCTAATTCTAAAATCTAACCAGCATAGATCTAATAATTCAATTGATGGGCATTAAATCAGAGGAGCTTTGACCTGACCTATTGCTAATGACTGTTCTCACATGATAAATGATAGCAGGTTAATTGAATCTTTTCCACAGAGCAAGCCTTTGGGGTAATTCTCAGTCTGCTGTTCCTCATGATGGACCACCTACTCTTACCATGAATGTGATCATTATCAAGCAATGATTGAGCTGCGGCGTGTAATAATGTATAGACACTGTTCATTATATACATGCAATGTTGCACTATTTGTATTGTAATGGTAGAAACACATTAGCACATATAAGTAAAGGCCCTTAATGATGGAGGTAATTTAAAGGCTAGTCAAACACAAACACGTGAAAGCCATTTTCCATCGGAGGGGGCCCAACCATTAAGCTGCAGTTGACATACAGGCAGGCCTATTAACCTCTGTGTGAGTCACCTTGTCATGTAGTGTGAGCACATACTATAGCCTGCGGAGATACAGAGCTTCACCCGGGTAGAGGAAATGATTTCAAAATGTACCATCTGTTTGTTCACACAGACTGAAAATGAGCCTGTGTGTGTGAGAGTGTCTGCACACACAATATCAGAACCTCTGCAGCTCAGCATCACCTGCCTGAACCGTATCATGTAGGCCTATTGAAGCATGAGGCGCGGTCTCCATGACAACGTGAGGCTGCGCTTGGGGTGCAGGGTCCCAGGTAATGAGTGAAAGATCGCTTAGAGGGAGGTGGGGGGATAATATGGGAGGAGCACTATGGGCAACGGGTGAGTGGAGAGACAAAGAATTCAGGAAGAAATGGGGGAGGTACCTGAAGGTATGTTGGTGGTTTGAAGCCATATTTATAGAAAAGAGAAGAGCTTAAAGTACACATACTTGCAAGTACATGCGTGAAGGTAAAACATCAAATGTGAGCATTTCGCAAAAAAAATTAATAACCATGAAAAGACATAAAAAATATGTCCTAAAACAAGGCTTGCTGTTTTTTAATGTGCTAAACTCCAACTATAAGAAACTGTTCCAATATTTCATCTTCATCAGGGTCTTTGATTTAAAGCCACATTAGGATTCCCCGTCTTTGAGAACGACTTCTAAAAGTGTTATGCAAATGATGTCGCGCACGCACGCACGCACGCACGCACGCACGCACGCACGCACGCACGCACGCACGCACGCACGCACGCACGCACGCACGCACGCACGCACGCACGCACGCACGCACGCACGCACGCACGCACGCACGCACGCACGCACGCACGCACGCACGCACGCACGCACGCACGCACGCACGCACGCACGCACGCACGCACGCACGCACGCACGCACGCACGCACGCACGCACGCACGCACGCACGCACGCACGCACACACACACACACACACACACACACACACGTACACGTATGTTCTACCTGAAAGGTTAGGGAGAGTTGAGTGAATACTAAATGACTTTATGTGACTGAGTGTGAGGGCAGCATGCAGATGATAACAGACGGTTTGATGAAGGAGTATTAATGATGCGAGAAACAATGGGAAAAGGCGATGGCAGTGCCTGTGTGGAGGAGAGAGCAGTGTGTGTGTGAGTAGATGTGTCTGTTCCTGCCAGGGTGTTGTTACAGGGTTATTCATGTCAACACATTTCCCTCACACTGTCCAGATTAGCTTCAAGAAAGAGCAGCTACCTTTCAATCCCTATCAAATCTTCCTAAACAACAGTAAAAAACACAGTGCTGAGAATCATAAGGAATGTTTGTATGTTTGTGTGGGAGGGAAAAAAGGTCCAGCAAAAGATGCAGCAAAGAAGACTGAAAAGTAACAGCTAGAGAGAAAAGAGAGAGGTGTAGCCTGAGGAGATGTGTGTCAACTCTTCAAGGAAAGATGGGGAGGCCCTCTACAATCCTGTAAGAAAGTGATTTTACCACTGCCGAGCCAAGAGGAATAAAGGTGCAGACTGCATGGATCAAAGCAAAGATATTTGAAATGGATGCAAGCTGCTTCTGGGTGTGGAGGAGGAGGTCTTGAATGTAAGGCCATTTTCAGGAAAGGCTTGGGAAGATGGACAGGTGGGCTGGAAGAAGAGGGTAAGACGCCACAAAAAAAGTATGTGCATTTTGTTTGATATGTATTCCTCAAAGACTCACCCGGGGACTGAGGTTTGGGAGGAACCACCGCCAGCCTCTTTGGGGAGGAGGGGAGAGAACGAGTGACCTCTGAACTCCGCTGAAACTCCTTCCTGACAACTGTCAACCAAAGCCAGAACAGACGACAAAGTAAATACAGCAGTGACATCTTAAAACGCTACCTTACATTTAACATTTTGTCAATCAAACTTCCACCGACACAAAATGCAGCAAACCAGCCATCATGCCCCGCCAACTCCTTGCTCTCTTTTCAATTTCTTTTGCTGCTTTTTCCCCTCTCCTAACTTTTTCCCAATCTGTCTGTTACCCTCCTGCTTTCATCTTCAGCTATCTTCCCCCCCTGCTGCGTGGTATAACTATGTCCCCCGGGTCTCTGGGTCAAAGAGAAGTTGAGCATACTGGGGAAGATGTGTGCCCATTACATCCCTGCTCTCTGTGACATTATACACTTTGCAGGAAAGACAGAGAAGGTGGGGTGTGTGGGAGTAGTGAAAATACCTGAAATTGAAAAAATGTGTTACCCAGGAGAGAGAAGCAGATGATAGTGAATAAAGAAAGGAGGTTTTAGAAGGTTAGCAGGGAATCTGTTGTGAAGCAGAGATGAGAGAAGGAGAGAGGCCTTGAAAAGGAACTAATTAGACCTATAATGGGAGAGAAGCCTCTGATCCTGAACAAATCCCCAAATAACCCTTGAGAGATACTTTAGGGCTGCATAGACTGTGTTTCTGTGTGTGTGTGTCTTCACTCTTTACTGTGCATGTGTTGCTGTGGTCTTTCAAATGTGGCTCTGAGTGTGACTCATTTCTGCCAACTAGACCCCAAACTAAAAAAAGCACTGCAATGCCGCCATACTGTTACGAAAACCCAGCAAGTCTCAATTGTCTCAAACATGTACTTGAATTGGTAGTGTACTTAAAACAAACACTTCTCCAGAATGTTTTTGGGCAATTTGTACTTGTGAGTGAGTACAAAGATTTGAAATTAAATTAACATGACTTCCAGCAACAGGAACAGATTATTTGCTTTGTGTCAGAGCCTCAACAGGACAGACGTTTCTGTCAACTGATAGACGTGTGTGCACTTGTCTAACAAACTGTGTGAGATTGTGCTGTATTGAGAAAGACAGACAACAATGGAATATAAAGAAAAGATCAAAGTAGTGTCTGTGCACCACTTGCAGGTTGACAGGGACTCCTCATGTATTTCCCCATCAATAATTTACAGCACATTTAAAGTCAGCTCGGGCCTACGGATACACAATGTGAGAGAGATGTTCTCTACACTGTCTGCATACCCAGCACGTCGAGGACATCACAAGAATGATCTTCACACTGTTCTGCTGTCGAGAATCCATTTTGTTCTGATTGTTTTCGATGTATTCAGCTCACACCGCAGCATGAAGCAGAGTTCTGTGTCTTTTATTCAATAAGCTGCTATAAAAGTGTAAAGACATGAGATAACTGTGAGTGAGAGAAGTGTGATACTACAGGGCCCCTGGTGTTCATGTCCATGTGTGAAGAATACATATGTGTGAAAAGCATCACTGCCTGTGCGCCTCCTCGAGCAGAATGTGTCGCCCATCGTCTACCAGGACAGTTGTGACGCCACAAGATCATACAAATGAATTAACACCAACATTATTGACTGTGGGTATAATCTGGTTAATGTGTAGTGTTCGTGTTTAGTGGTACTTCTTTATAGATTTCATGAAGAGGAGCACACTTGAATAAATAGCCTAAATACAAACACGAAAATCAATTCCACAATTGCATCTATCTAATGCAGTTCAACAGATTCTAAAAGTGATCTTGTAAGTGAAGTCAAGTGTTAAAATGTTAAGTTAGTGCCTTCTAGCATTTCCAAAATGACTTTCAACAACCCCCCAAAAGCAGGGGCTTGTGCTCAGTTAGGTACTACACTGTATATTGAGGCAGAAAAGGGTGGAAAAATTTAGTTTTTAGAGTATGTTCAGGAAGAACACTGAATGCCTCTTCTGCCATGGATTTCTCACTATTCAGATATTTAACATTTGTATTTTTAACAATAACTAAGCATGTTTTTATTTGTTTTCCAAGTACCAACAATAAAACATGATGTTTAATATTTACTTTTTTGAGACTATGATTTATTATAAATGAATATTCCTCTGCATCTGAATACCAGTACATGCATAATACATCATGTATGGTTTGCTGGATATTAAATAGTTTACCACATATGTGAAAACAGCATGTGACAAAAGGACACAATCTGTTGCTGGTGGAAAATGCTCTCTCTCACTCAGATAGTATTTACATAAAGGGGTGAGTTCCCTGCAAGCCCTCTGTATGATTACATTTCATTGTTCCTGCATGAACTTGGTATTCATTTATGTAAAAACTATGCTGACAAAATCCAATAGTGTAGAACATATCTAACAAACAAACTATGGCGTTATTCGAACCAAGAATCTAGCTTTATTCTCCGTAAAAGGTCTATGTCATATTTACCACACAAATATATAGTGATAAATAGTGAAATGTATACTCCACATATACTTCATAATGTTTTACAATTAATCGTTGGGTTGTACTGGCGAAACTCCACTACACTCAGACTATTACCCTACTGTTGAACAGATGACTTGCAATATACACTTTTACATTTTTAAACACTATAAATGTTGTCACCTGTTGAATAAAGGACCCCTGATTCTGACTGACCTCCAGGGGAGCTTCTTGGCGGGGCGGGCAGGAAGCGTCGGGGCAGGGCGGGGGTGGAGGGCGGCTGGAGGCTCTGGCTGCGACATGGGACCCCCCTCTGGTGGTCTGTGGACGGAGGGCTGGTGGTCACTCTGTGGAGGGGGGGCTCCTCGCTCACACTCAGACCTGGAATACAGAAAATAATTGTTTATATCCTCTATCATTTAGAGTATATCAGTGTATATCTTCAGAGCTTATGTTCTGATTGTCTTTATCTGAATTGTCTCTTACTCCTTTTCACATGTTTTGTGGGCAGTATGACAGGGCGGTGTGATGTCTGAATTTAGGTCTACTTGTCTGATAAATGGTTTGTAACCTCTTGGTCTCTCTGCTGCTGCTCTCAATCTTTCCTCAAGCAGCACACAAACACACAGTCATACACACATGTTTACCCACATGTGCACACACAAACAAGGTGCAATGCACTCACACAGAGGCGCACTGCTCATCGCTCATCCCGGGCCAATCGTGCAGCTATAATCTATTTAATGACCAGCAGATAGTTTACACAATTGCAGGCACACACTCTCACACACTGCGTATATCCTGCTCATCTCCGCCCGATCAATAGGGACTCAACAGATTGCCTGCACTTCTCCACCTCAGTCGTGTGACAGCAGGGGATGAACAATTTATTGTAAAGCTGCTTTGTAAGAAGCCATAAGATTGGTGATTAAGCCGTGTAGCACAACCCCTCCACATCCACAGATATCAGTACACTTAAGAGGAAGGAATTGCATCGTGAACATGTAGATATCAACAGTCTCTTTTGGCCTGCATTGTCTTAAGTCCACGAGGCGCTGAGGATTAGAAGAGAGCTGCGCAGCGGGGAGCCTCATTTATTCAGAGCAGCTTTGCCTTTGGTGTGAATTTCTTCCGTGACTACATCTACCTTTCTCCCTGAGCACTAAACACACATTTATAACCACACTCTTTCATTTGCTGCATTGTACCAATATTGCTGTAAATAGAGAGTGGGAAGTTGGTGTGACATTGACTCATTAGGTTGCTTTCAAAGAATAAGTGCAGCCACTGCAGAACTGAGAAACCCTGTGCCGCATTTCTGCTGCATGGCACGCCACTACTCAACTTTATTGGCTCTTTTTTGGTTATCCATTTGTAGAATTCCCAAACAAGCTAAGAAAAAACTAGAAGGTGCAGTCAAAAAAACACCTTTTTTTTTTAAGAATGCACATATTCTAACACAGTTGGCTTTATCTTGATAAATGATATATGTAAGATGAATGGTACACACTGCAAATGTAGCCCAGCAGCAAGCAGCAGTGGTCAGGGAGAGCCAGTTATTGAACTACCGAGCATGCAATCAGTGGAGAGTGTGCTCCATCTCCTGAGCCACAGGAGGGGTTTGATTGTTGGGAATAATTATGTGCCTGAATCAACTGATGATTAAAATTATATGTTTGTGCAAAGTGATCGCCAAAATATTTCAGAATGCATAATAATTGGAGCATCACGATAACAGCTCATAGGGTTAAAAATAGCAGCAACATAGCAGAGCACTGTACACAACAAGACATTGATTGTGATTTGAGACTCATTTGTGTTGTAAGCCATTCAGCAGTTGAGCAGTCCAGAGTATTTCTAAAACCAAATCATGTGTATAAACATAGAATATACACCATCTTGAAGGATATATATAAAAAAAGGTTGGGTTACTAATTTGGATGACAATATTGTTTTATGTATCATTATAAACATTTGCCATATAGAAAGAGAGAGAGAGCGAGAGAGCGAGAGATAGATAGATGGATAGATGGAGAGATGGAGAGATGGATAGGTAGATAGGTAGGTGGATAGATGGATAGATGGATAGATGGATAGATGGATAGATGGATAGATGGATGGATGGATGGATGGATGGATGGATAGATGGATGGATGGATGGATGGATGGATGGATAGATGGATAGATGGATAGATGGATAGATAGATAGATGGATAGATGGATAGATAGATGGATAGATGGATGGATAGATGGATAGATGGATGGATGGATGGATAGATGGATAGATGGATAGATGGATAGATGGATAGATAGATGGATGGATAGATGGATGGATGGATAGATGGATAGATGGATAGATGGATAGATGGATAGATGGATAGATGGATGGATAGATGGATGGATGGATGGATAGATGGGTAGATGGGTAGATGGGTAGATGGATAGATGGATAGATGGATAGATGGATAGATAGATAGATATACTTTATTAATCCCGAATTGGGAAATTATTTTGTTACAGGAATTAAAATACAAATACTTAAATGTGGAAAAGAGTAATTCCCGTATGATATTTTACAAATCATACATGTTATGGTAATACATATGAAAAGCAAATATTCTAGAAATGTGCAAAAAAACATGTAATACTTATCTGCAATTTAATCTGTGTACAATAAAGTGTCTCTTGTGGATTTAGGGGATGCACAAGGAGTGGTTGCTTTAGATATTCCTCAATGTAAGAAAAGAAAAAAAGCTATTTAAATTGGCTGTTAAAAAAGATACAGCCTCATGTTGCTGCCTCACCGTATAACAGTGATGCACGTTACATTCCCAGAAGCTTCATTAGTCGACCCAGAGCTCCAGCGGGCTTTGATTAGTGAGGATGCTCTCAGTATATTCCCTCCTCGTGAACCAGTCAAGGTTACGGCCCGAGTGTCCAGGGCAGATTCTGGACAGAGTACTGCACTGCTATGACTGAGCTCCTCAATGACTGCTGTCAACACTTCCACTGGTTACAGTCGTAGAGATGCCCTTTTTTCTTTTTTCAAAATGAGAAAAAAACCTCAAATGCTTTGACTGGTGCCTCGTCTCTGAGTTGACACAAATCAATTTGCTGGTTGATATGAACTGAGATGCGCTCATTAGTCATAGGTCAAGTATGTACCAAACAAATTCCCAGAGCAGCAGGACGAAGAGTAAATGATGGCGTTGGGCAGTCAGACAGACTACATTGAGGAATGCTATGAATGATAAATAGAAGAGCGCCATTCAGTGTTAGAGAAAGGGAGAAAAGGGGATGTATTTCATTAACGGTAAAAGCTAGCTGATATGCATCACTGATTGGCAAAATGCCAGCCGGTAATGGATAACCGAGCAGGAGGAGCAGGATAGGAAGAGGGAAGGAAGAGAGTCTGGCTGTTTGGAATCAGTGTGAAGAATATAACAAAGGGGAGCCTGTGGCAAACTAAACGTATTATAAAGACGGATTGAAAAACAGAACATATTAAAAAGGGACCGTGAGCAGTAGAAGAATCAGCTGAGGACAAAGACAGCAGGTTTTTCTGCTCAGTCGGAGGCCATATTGGAGCAGATGCACCTCAAAACAAAACCAATGCAGGTAGAATAATGCTGACTCTTATATCTGGGTCCTATACAGTGACCGGAGAGGAAAAGGATAAGTGTATATGCATCCTTAGAGTTTCACTGGGAGTATATAGAAAATGGCAATGTATTTAAACATCACTTACATGGGGATCAGTTATAATTTGGTTTAAAAATAGCAAAAATAAAGGCCTTTCAATGTCATTTTACTGTAGCATGGACCACTCTGCTTGTCAGCTTAATCAGCAAGTTCACATTCTGCAGATAAACACTTCTGCTGTCCTAAAGGAATTGATCATGCTGTAATTCATCCAGGTGGCAAACGCGCAAACATGACCACTTTAAAACTGGAGGTACTGCACAGACTGCAGTGCTGACATGTCAAGGAAATAACTCTTATTTCTCAGAAACACGAAGCCCCTGGGAAATAATGGTGTACTTTATTTTGCACTGCATGCTTAAAAAACCCAGCAGCATCTGGTACAAATGGACTTATTAGGATATTTCATTATATCTAAGTATTATTTTAACTGTTTGTTTAAGGATACAACTGAAACAACAGAAACCATCTCTTCCCACAGAGACACATTTCATATTTTTTTGAAGGAATAGGAAAGCTTTTTGATATGATGATATCATTTAGGTTGATTTTGAGGTCTAACATGAGTGTCTGTTTAATTAGTACTCACAGACAGATGTCAGCTCCATTCAGCGCTGTTAAATAAAGGACACATTGTGTGTAATTAAAATTGAAGTTTGCCTTCATCACAGCCTACAATTAGTCCTGCTTATTAATCGTTGCTTCCTGTCATTCTTTTAAAGCTGCTTTAACTGTCTACCTGTCACTCTTCATCCATCAATCATAATGTGCAGTAAGTCGTTCCCTTATAATCCTGTATTTTTTTAATTTCATTTATATACTCATCATCTAGATTCAAGTTTCTTGCTGTCATGACTCATGAGAGGAATATGGAAATCTATAGTGTTGTGTGTGAAAGTCAAGGTTAAAGCTGTATATTTAAGCAATAGCTCACAACAGGCCGTGGTATATGCTCAGTATATCACAGCTAAGGGGCGTGGTTCGGCCCGACGCGATGCAGGCAGTTTGCTTTTCAGCCCAACTGTATACAGTTTTTCTCAGACGCGGAGGGATACTGATTTGTTGTGAAAAGTAACTACAATTCTACCCGTGGTATACGCTCAGTATATCACGGCTAAGAACCAATCAGATTGCTTGATTTGACTTGTCCGTTTTATAAATAAAGCAACAAATAATGGCCGTGCAGAGACCTGGGTTGCAGCCGGTGAGATATATTAGATAATATATACTGGAGCTCACAGCAACATCCAAAGGCCTCGTGTCCTCTGTCAGGACCCAGATGTCAGGAGATGAAAGGGTCAGTCCAACCAAAAGGGACACATAGTAGTATTTCTCTTCTTATGGTCAATACGAGAGTGATGTATCTCTGTGGTAAACAAACAAACGTATGAAGAGGCATTGCAAGTATGACATAAATCACAGACTTTTTTCCCTTAAAATTGTATTTTAGGATTTATTGTATAATCTCAGAAGCTTGGAGATTAAAAAGATCCAATATTGCTTCCTAAAATCTGCTGTGCACAATAACAGTATCCTAAACAAGAAAAGGCTTAGAGCAAGTGAAAAAGCCACAAAAGGATAAAGCCAGATCAGGAAAGAATGAAGGATTTATGGGTAAGAGTGACCTTCTTTTAACTGGGTTCAAACCCCAAAAGAGAGCCACGGCTACTCCTGCTGAA